TATATATACCACATCTTCTTTATCCATTCATCTGTTGATGGACATCTAGGTTCTTTCCATAGTTTGGCTATTGTGGACATTGCTGCTATAAACATTTGGGTGTACGTGCCCCTTTGGATCACTACATTTGTATCTTTAGGGTAAATACCCAGTAGTGCTATTGCTGGGTCATAGGGTAGCTCTATTTTCAACTTTTTGAGGAACCTCCATGCTGTTTTCCAGAGTGGTTGCACCAGCTTGCATTCCCACCAACAGTGTAGGAGGGTTCCCCTTTCTCCGCATCCTTGCCAGCATCTGTCATTTCCTGACTTGTTAATTTTAGCCATTCTGACTGGTGTGAGGTGGTATCTCATTGTGTGTGTGGTTTTGATTTGTATTTCCCTGATGCCGAGTGATGTGGAGCACTTTTTCATATGTCTGTTGTCCATCTGGATGTCTTCTTTGCAGAAATGTCTGTTCATGTCTTCTGCCCATTTCTTGATTGGATTATTTGTTCTTCGGGTGTCGAGTTTGATAACTTCTTTATAGATTTTGGACACTAGCCCTTTATCTGATCTGTCATTTGCAATATCTTCTCCCATTCTGTCAGTTGTCTTTTGGTTTTGTTAACTGTTTCTTTTGCTGTGCAAAAACTTTTTATCTTGATGAAGTCCCACTAGTTCATTTTTGCCCTTGCTTCCCTTGCCTTTGGTGATGTTCCTAGGAAGAAGTTACTGCAGTTGAGATAGAAGAGGTTGCTGCCTGTGTTCTCCTCTAAGATTTTGATGGATTCCTTTCTCACATTGAGGTCCTTCATCCATTTTGAGTCTATTTTCATGTGTAGTGTAAGGAAATGATCCAGTTTCATTTTTCTGCATGCGGCTGTCCAATTTTCCCACCACCGTTTGTTGAAGAGACTGTCTTTTTTCCATTGGACATTCTTTTCTGCTTTGTTGAAGATTAGTTGACCATAGAGTTGAGGTCTATTTCTGGGCTTTCTATTCTGTTCCATTGATCTATTACACACTACTTTTTAAAGCTGAAACACTGTTTTGTTTTGTTTTTAAGTTATCATTGAGGGCCTTGTAAACTAGTATTTCAGAAAATGATTCTGCCATCCCTTCAGTGGTATCTTTGGCCTCTAGAATTAAATCTAAACTTAGTCTTTCATCCAGGGCTTTCCATATTCCTCTAAAAACTTATTACCACATGTTTCCTGCTTACCTATGGCTACCCAGGAGCCCCCAAACAAGCTCCATCCTTCCATGCCTCTCTGTCTGGGAACGTCTTGCCTCCCTGGCTTCCCTCCTCTTCTGCCTATCCAAAGGGATTTTCTTCATGAGATACCACCACCCCCACCACCCACCTTGACTATTCCAATTAGAAATGACCTCTTTCCTCTTTGGCTCATGACCATTTACTGGATATGCCATTTATCTGGTAATTAATCCAATATCACCTTGTGACAGCTTTTGTATTGTTAAAATGAACTGCCTTTTGGCTCTTGTGTGGTTGCAGAATTAACTGCTTGTGGGTTTTTTGTCTTGTTTCCTCAGCTAGATCATGAGGCCCTTGGGGTGAGTGAGCCTGCCTTGTGTCCCCACAGCATCCAGGACAGGACCCTACACATTGTAATAGCAGTAGTAGTGATGTTAACAGTGATGAAGACTTTAAAGGCTTAGTTTCCTATGTGCCAGGCACTGTTCTAAACACTTTCCATGTATAAACTCACTTGTTAGTGGATAAATATTTGTTTCAGTATTGTGAGTTTATTTGACCTCAAACCAAACCTTTGAAAACGAGTGTAAAAGAAAGACCACCCAGACACAATATCCAGACACTTGTTCTAGCTGGCTGGTCAGAGAAGGTGAGTTTTCTAGGAGAAGCCATGACATGTAGGGGAGGACTGAGGATGGCCACAGCCTGAGAAGGAAAAAAAGAGGAAGAGGAACAGGCAGGAATGGAGATGCCCTAAGCTTGAGGGTGGCAGAAGCAGCAGGGTTTTCTGAGGCTCTAGCTTTGAGTCAGGCTATGCTGGTGGATTTTCTTCTTTCCTGCACTGGCAAGGCTAAGGGTCTAGAAATAAGGTCTGGCCCTGCGCTAGACCTTGCTGAGGCCTCCGTTCCACAGAGAGTCCCTGCATGATGGCCCAGGTCCCCTAGGGATAGCAGGCCCAGTGCATGACCATTGCCCCAGCCTGTCCACATTAGCCGGGTTCCCCGCCCAGCTGGCCCTGGGCCACCACCTCTCCTGCACTTGGAAGGTTCCTGATGAACGCCTGGACCATGCTAAGAGTGAATGTGTTGAGCATGCGGAAGCAAATGGAAGTTAATTCCCACCCCTGGGCCTTTTCTCTCCTCAGGATCATCATTAGCTTCTCGGAATCTTTGCCATGTCTCAACACTGCAAAATGTATCAGGGTGCTGGGGATTCTGGGTAATTTCACCCTTGCCTTCAAGTAAAAGGCAGCCAAGAAGCTGCCTCCCTGAGCTCTAAACCTGTGACTCCAACATTTTGGGGTGCAGGAGGCTTCATTTGTATGTTCAAAACTGGGGAGATCTAAGGGTAAGGGAAGAAACATCTGTACCAATGTACATGCCAGCCCAGCAGCCCGGAGTTAAATCCCATGTCCCCAGCTAAAACAGCACTTCCTTACCCATTATCAAGCACAAATAAATGAGTTTCAGCACCCATGTAATGAAATTCTTGGATCCTTGAAAACAGGAAAAGGAGGAAGGAAGGAAGCACCTTGGGTTTTTGATACACTGATCTCTAAAGGGTCTGAGCATTTCAGCCCCTTGGTCAAAGCTCCACCATCATTTGGGTAAAAAAGGGCTGGCCCCTTCTTTAAACAGATCTCGTTTCCAGGGAAGGCACCATGGGGTTGTGGCTGGTTCTGTTGAATCCCGACACGCCCCAGAATAAATGTCGTTGCTTTCTGTCCAATGCATCATTGAAACTTCAGTTACATTTGACTGAACAGTCCTTGAAATCGGGAAAGTGGTTTAATTTGCTGCCAATAAAAGAGTGAGGAGAGTTTTTCCCCCTGAAACTTTGCCCAGAGGCCCAGTATGAACGGATTGCCATTTTAATTTTATATGTGAGACTTACAGAGGCTGCAGCAGTAATATTCCTCTTTGTGGAAGTCTTATTTCAAGGCCTGCCACTGACGTCTTTCCATGGGACACCAGCACTCATCTTCTTTATGATAGAGTGCGTCTGCCTCAAGGATAGGGCTATCTTTCCGCCCTTGAGTCCCACCTGCCCCCAGAGCCTAGCACCTCACAGTTACACAGTAAACACTGGCTGAATGAATGAGTAAGTGTTTAAGTGTCTGAGTTCCTAACACTGAAATAGCAGTGCGATAGGAAGGAATCTGACTCTGTGAGCCTCGGGAGCCGCCAGAATTATATCCTGGAGGCCACACTGGCTGGGCTCCTCTTTTTGTTGTTGTTAAATCAGATATTTAATAATTTAAAAAGCCAGCCCTGCCACAGTTGGGGCTCAGCCGAGCAGACATTTTGGGCTGCTCCCAGGGTACTGATCTCGCTCTTGGCCGGGCTGTTCTGAGTCTGCCCTTGCTGTGCCTGAACCTCACACGCCCTCCCTGGGGTTCCTCCATGGCCATAGGCCCAGCCCCACTGCCAGGCCAGCAGCTCCTGCACCACAGTGCCTGCAACCTCTTGCCACAAACTGTTCACTGAAGCCAGTAGACCAAGCGTTCACCCCTCCTCCCCTCTTCTCTCCCTTTGTTTCTCTTTTCTGCCACTCTCCTCACTCTCTTTACCTTCTACCCCTTCCCTACTCTTTCTGCCATCCCAGCTCCTCCCCTCTCTCCAGCATCTTGTTCAAACTGGACAGATTACCAGCACCTAATTTACGGAGGTGCTAAGAGGTACCTCCCCTGAGCTGGTACAGCATGGGCGAGAAGCCTGGTTTGGGCTGACCGCTGGTTTAGAGTGGGGATGTCACATCCGCTTCTCAGGTCTGAAGATGAAGAACCCCTGCCTGCCATTCTGGGGGTGAGAGATCCCGCATAACGTGATGGATAGCCGCCAACCCATGCCTCCCTTATCCCTGACCTCGTGTGGATCACACATTCCCCTTGCCTTGCCTGTCATTCTTCTCTGCCTGCCAGGAGCTCTTGGAGGGCAGACAGTTGGTTTTACTTTTATGAATTATCAGGCCAAGCCCAAGCCTGCCACCAACAGGAGCTGAATAAATGTGCAGTCGACTACAGTACGGCTCTGGAGCACCTACTGTATACTAGGCTCTGGGCCTTAGGGATATAGAAGTGAATCAGACAAGATTTCGCTGGGCTGGAGATACCTGTACTCTTGAAGGAGAGATGGGCTTTCAACTCCTATGAATGCGAAGCGAGTCATAAATAAGAAATGAGTATTCAAGGGTGAAGGGAAACACCGGGAGGCCTAACCTAGCCAAGGGGTCAGGAAAAGCTATTTGGAGAAGCACTACCTCTACAGGACAAATAGGAGTTGGTTGGAGGGGGTGGAGGAGGGGAAGGGCAAGAGGGACCGTTCTAGGCAGAGGGAATGTTGGTTGGATGAGTAGGTGGGTGAACCTGGCATTGAATTCTGAGCTTGCCAGTACAACGGGACAGCATTCTGCCAGGCACAGGAAACAGGTGGCTGAATTAGGGGTGCATACCACAATGCATAGAATGCGGTGGTGGAAGTTATCTCTTCATTGCCTCCTCATGGCACACAGACCCATGTCTCCCAAGGCTACACTCTGATCACAAACATTCCTAGGAAGGGGGTGGAATAGACACTTCAGCGCCCCCTGCCAAGGATCGGGGGACCCTGGAATTAAGAGACAACCTTCAGCCCCGTGTCACTTTGCACATTGACACTGCCAACCCCGGGCACCTCACCCAAGTCTCTCTTCTCCCCACTCAGACGAGCGGGAAGTTGTTCAGAAGAAGACCTTCACGAAATGGGTGAACTCGAACCTGGCCCGCGTACCCTGCCGCATCACCGACCTCTACAAGGACCTGCGGGACGGGCGCATGCTCATCAAGCTGCTGGAGGTGCTCTCTGGAGAGATGCTGGTAAAGCCCCTCTGCCCAAGCCCCGTGCTGTGCCTCCTCTTTAGAAAAGACGTGGTCTGGGGATGTTTCCAGCTCTCCTGGCCTTCCAGGGTTTCATTACTTACTGATGTGAGATGTCCGTGTGGCTCACTGAGTTCTCTGACCTATTCTCGGAATGTATCGCCTCTGGGCCATTGCCACATCATCATGCTTCTCCTGGAAGCCTTATAAAGCTCTTGATTCCTCCTCTGGGGACTTAGGCCCCCGTGGCTGGCCTGCAGTGGACCCACCTCAGTGTCCTTGTGTGGGCCGAGAGAGATTCTGTTACCCAGCTGGAGAAATAGGCATCCTTCTTAGAACCAGAGAAGAGCATGGAAGATAATTTCCTGTGTGTTCTATCACCCTTACGAGTGGAAATGTAGTATAGGCCCTCTCCATTGTGACCCACCTGGCAGTGATGTTGCCTCTGAGGGAGAACCAGATTCAAGTTTTCCTCAGTCACTTCCATCGTAACCTTGGGTCTATCAGTCAGGACCTTCTTTTCCTTGTTTCCGCCTAAGTATCAAATGATACCTGTACTTGATCCTCAGGGTTTGAATGAAAAGGTACTACATATTCCCATTGTTTTTTTAACTCCAGGCTCCTGTCTCCTGCCCTGTGTCAAAAGGCCACTAGAAAGAGTTACCACTGGGAGCCCTTTACATGTTGTGGTTACTCTTGATGGTCCCCTCGAGTTTTGGCTGGAGCCGTTTGGGGGTGGGAAGGGAAGAGGTTGGATGGTGGGATGGCCTCTGTTACCAATCACCAAACAAAAAGCCGCTCTTACCACCAGCAGTTAATAGGTCTTAGAACTGTGCCTGGCATATAGTAAGTGCTCAATTAACTATTTGATGTGTCAGTGCTTTTGAATGGCATTTATTACCCCTCAGAAGTCTTTGTTCAGACCTAGGAATAGTACTAATGCAGCCTAATTACAGAGCTTTGGATGCTAAAGGAAGGGGCAGTGTCTGAACTTTGCAGGAAGGATGGAGCTGAAAAGCATCAAAGACTGAACGTGAGAGTTAGAGACTGGCTAGGAGGGTGGAGGAGGGGATGCTGATGATGGGAGTTGGTCCAGGCTGCATCCACCTCTGGGGCAACTGTGAGGTCCCTCCATGCCCATGGGGCCAATGCCATCCCTCAGCCAAAGCCCACAAAGGGGAAGATGCGCATCCACTGCCTGGAGAATGTGGACAAGGCCCTACAGTTCCTCAAGGAGCAGCGTGTACACCTGGAGAACATGGGCTCCCATGACATCGTGGATGGCAACCACCGCCTGGTCCTGGGCCTCATCTGGACCATCATCCTTCGCTTCCAGGTAGGTTCTTGGGGGAGCAGAGGGAGTGGGGGAGCCTCTCTGGGCCAGGGCTTAGGAACCTTATAAAATGGTGAATGAAGTGTGAGTGTTTGTGCACGTCCTGGGAGGCTAGAAACTTGTCCTGTGGGGCAGTGTTTATAGGAAGAAGTGACCATCATCTGCACTGACTAATCACTGAAGCTTGGGGTGAGCTGTTCAGTCAACAGTGTAGTCTTTTGAGGGAGAAGATAGAAACCAATAGCTGGGGTGAGGTCTGGCTGGGAGATCTGATTTTGTCCCTTTCCCTCAACATGTGTAGGTTTTTTAGAATTGTTTGATTCAGAATTTACAAAAACAATATAGAAGATCTAGATTGTTTTTCAATCAGAAACTTTTCTCTTCCCACCCTGAAATTCAAGTTCTGTTATTTGTAAGGAAATTTAGAAAGTGTAAGGGAAGGAAAGCAAGGCCTTCCACCTGCTGGATTGGGGACAGGAAGAATCTAGTCCTGAGGATCGGGAGGAAAAGGGGGATAAAGATAGCACGCAACTCACAGACTGAAGATCTCATCTGAGGGGCCCTGGGTTTCCAGTTGTGGATGTGTATGGTTAGACAGTAGTGACTGCGGAACTGAGGAGAATGAAAAGGAAAGAGGAGATACTAATCAAAACCCAATACCTTTCAGTTTTCACATTGTCCCTTACAGGACATTGTGCCTCAGAGGAGGATTTGGGGCATCTTGTTTATTCTCAGTATCCCATTAGTTATCCAGTTAGAGCTGTCTCCTCTGACATGACGAGGACATCCCTGACCCATTACAGCCAACTAAGGTGGGGAAACAGGCCATGGGGACCCAGGGTTGGCAAGGCAGATGGAGAGCTAAGAAGGAAGAAAGAGGGAGGGAGCTTCCCAGGGAGAACAAGAAGGCACAGATCCAGATGCAACTCTCATTTCTCCCTCACTCGTTCCTGCGCCCCTAGATTCAGGACATTGTTGTGCAAACTCAGGAAGGTCGTGAGACACGCTCAGCCAAGGATGCGTTGCTGTTGTGGTGTCAGATGAAGACAGCAGGGTAAGCCCTGGGCACCAGTTCACTACTCCATTCCCCACCATCCTCCTGCTTCCCCCAAAGACCGCCATAGCCAAGGGACACACATACCATCGTCCAGAACTATAGCAGCTTCAGTGTGACAGATGCAAAACATATCCTGACCTGATTCTTGAAGACCTGGAATTCAGGATTCCTTCCCAGAGTTGCCTGGGTCAGACGTTGTCCGTTGGGTGTGTGAGTGTCTTGGGCCCACCTTACGGAGGAACCTCTTCGTGTAGCTTAACTGCTCTCTGTTGATGAAGGGGCCCAAGAAGGGATGGATCCATTTCTCTCCCGTGTATGGGTCCCTCAGTTCCGACACTTTGGAGGACCCCAAAATAGTCTGTCTCTTAGGTCTTAATGTTTCTCTTGGATACAGCTATCCCCAGGTCAATGTCACCAACTTCACCTCCAGCTGGAAGGATGGCCTGGCCTTTAATGCCCTGATACACAAGCACCGGTAAGAGGGAGGGGAGGGCTGAGGGCCAAACCCCTGGGCTGCTCAGATACAGCGCACACCGCATGTAGGTCCCTCCAAGCCTTCTCTCACTGTCGGCTTCCCTGCCTCCCTGAAACCCCAGGCATGCCCTGTGCCCCTTCCCCCATGTTCAGGTGCTCACAGCTGTCCCTCCCTTGCTTCTGTCTCCTCCTTCCACTTCTGCCCAGCTGTCTGTCCAGTGTCTTTGCTTCGTGCTGGGGCTGCCCAGTAGGTGGGGGATGCTGCGGCCACCGCCTTTTAGCAGTCTGGCCTTGTCCCCAGGCCTGACCTGATTGACTTTGATAAACTGAAGGACTCGAACGCGCGGCACAACCTGGAGCACGCCTTCAAGGTGGCTGAGCGCCAGCTGGGCATCATCCCTCTCCTGGACCCCGAAGGTGAGCGGCACCTGCTCCAGCCCTCTGCTGCTGGGAGGGAGGCAGAGTTCCTGCCAGAGGGAGCCCCGGGCTGCAGGGATACTGGGAGGAGTCTGGGCCCCGAGCAGGGCCAGCCATGGACACAGCAAGGGGCTGGTAGCTGGGCCAGCGCCCTGCTCCGGGCCGGCTCTTCAGATCCATGTTGGTTCCTGACCCTCACCTGGCCCAGCCAGGGGCCCATTTGTCATTTGTCATGTGTGGATCCTCCTTCTTCACTCTTTCCACTCCTTGTGGTCCTAATATGGAGTTCATCCTCTGGCAAAAATCACAATCACACTTTCATTCTCAACTTCTGGTTGTCGCTTGGTACCTGGAGTTGAATTTCCTGCTTGAGGAACAGGGAGCTGAACCCTCTGAGCCCAATGTTTCCAGCTTCCAGCTGGGTCCTGAGCATGCACCCTTTCCCCTTGCAGATGTCTTCACAGAAAACCCCGATGAGAAATCCATCATTACCTACGTGGTGGCGTTTTACCACTACTTCTCCAAGATGAAGGTGCTCGCGGTAGAGGGCAAGCGCGTTGGCAAGGTACAGAGCTGATCTGCAGGGTGTCACCTTGGTTCCCTGTTTGCCACACTGTGATGCTCCCTTCCTGTCCCGAGAGCTCTGTGCCTGCGCTCCAGCTGCAGGGAAGGGAGACAGATCAATCCCCACCACCTTCCTCCGAAGCCAAGCACTGCCACGTTAATGGCTCCCATGCTAAATTCCAAGGCAAGCTGCTGGTCTGTCCTGAAAAATATCCTGGGCTAGAGCTCTGATCCCCTCTTCCCCATCTCCTGAACATTTCTACAGGACACAGTGGGCTTCTACATATTAGTCTGTTGTGGTTCTGGGCCTCTTCACTCATGGTGTATTGGGAACCCAACCCACTATACAGACCCTCTTGCCAGATTCCTTTCCCCTGCCAGTCCACAGCATGCCAAGGGTAGAAACCATTTCTCATTCACCCTTGTGTGCCTGGCGTTTAGCAGAGGCAGTGCCTAGAAGCCTTGGATTCCTAATAATGCATTTTAAAATGAACAAAACCTCAGCCTTCCTCGTGGCTGATGTCCTGGCCCAGCAAACTTACCAGTCTTTTGTAGGGTTGGGGGAGGGGTGGAGCTGCCTGTGAACCCCAGCAGTGCTAGTTCCCTGCTAATCTTGCCAGTCCCCTCCTCCTGCCTTAGCAGTATTTTTGAGCTCAGGGAATAAACCCAACATGGGACACTCTGGCCCCACCAGTGGCCTCATTGGTGTCATTGATCTGATAAGGATCAGTAATAAAGTCATTCCGCAGGTCATTGACCATGCCATTGAGACGGAGAAGATGATTGAAAAGTATAGTGGGCTGGCCACAGAGCTGCTCACGTGGATTGAGCAGACCATCGCCGTCCTGAACAGCCGCAAGTTTGCCAACTCCCTGACGGGTGTCCAACAACAGCTACAGGCTTTCAGCACCTACCGCACCGTGGAGAAGCCCCCTAAGTAAGGGCCTGGGCTCTGGGAGGCTGGGCATCCATGGCTAGGAGCCTGACTGCCAAAGGCAGAGCCAGGCTCTGGGCCTTGAGCAGTATACCCGGAGGTGTAACCTAGAAACCAGAGAGCGTTACATTTGTCATCTCCTTCATCCCCCTCTTGCTCTCCTGCTCCCAAGCCATCAGCCTGGAGGAAAGGGGCATTGATGAGTAACCAGAGAAAGTAATAGAAAGTTTCTCTCTGAGAAACTCAGAAGCACTGAGCTGTGCTTTGTTACCTGGTAATGACCTCTGTAACCACAGCCTCAGGGCTCTCTGTAGGGGTCTTGCTGATGACCAGGCACATCCTGTTTCTCTCCATTCTGTTACTGCTCATCAACAGAGCATGTGGGGACCTCTCAGGACCTCTGCTTCACCCCAGTGAGACCCAGTGAGGGGTCACATGTACATATGTCTGCACAACCACACCCATGCATGTGCATGTGTGCACAGACACACCCATAGGCACGAGCACATGTGGACACACAAACAGAGGGGGCATTCCAGCTCACTTGCCCTTAGCTTGTCCAGCTTTTCTGAAGCTTTTCTCTAGCTTATTGGTGGTACCCTTGGCCCTGTTCCTTCCCCTGACCTCCCACACTTCATTCATAACTCTCCAACAGGGAAAGGTGAGACACGGAGTCTAAAATGTACTATAAGCAAGTAACCGATTTCTGGCCTGACACTAACCCACTTTTAAAGTCCTAAATTCAGTACAGATAACCTCCCCTGGGCTTCTTTCAGGCCGCACACCACAGGGGTGCTACCTTTTGGCCAAGTAGATGGTGCTCTGAGCCCCAGCCCTCTTGAAATGACTGTGAGTGGTCAGTTCTGTTAGGCTGGCCTCAGGGTGGGGACCTGGTCGACAGCCCATCTTCAAATGCTATGTGGGAGGTGCAGAAGTAGGCAGATACTGGCTTCCATGCAGAAATGTAAAAGCATGCAGTTCCATTGAGCTGAGCCTCAAGACATTCACCCTGCTGTCGGTTCTCATCTACACCTGCTATCGGCCTGGAGTGCAGCCTCTCCTCTCCCCTCAGAAGCAGCAGGCCTTTAGGACTTGTCCCGATGTCTGCTCATTAGTACTCAGGTGAAAGTTGCTTTCAAGACAGTATGTTCTTACGTGGCTAATGTTCCTTCTAAGGTTTTATTGGCTCGCTCAGTTAAAAAAAAAAAAACAACTAAAGGGCTAGTCAGAAGTCTTCATCATTACAGAACAGGGAAGAGCTTTCTCTGTGTTGCTTGGTAAAACTCTTGGTGTCTGGAGGAATTACTAGAATCCTCCAGTTAGCCATTCCGCTGGGGAAGCAGATGATAAGCAAACACTGTGGAGGCTCTTATGTTTTTTCTGGTTTGTATTTTAAAGACTCAGCCCATAGTAGATCACAGTTGGTAAGTATGATAGATGTTTTAACAGGTAAATTAACCTATATATCCTCTTTATTTTTTGTTTTTAAAGAAAATATGTTTCAGTATCTAAGCTCCAAGATATGCCAGGGTTCCATGTTGACTAGCAAAAAATTTGGCAATGGGGACCTCGACACTAATCTCCCTCCCTCTGTTTTCTCGACAGGTTCCAGGAGAAGGGGAATCTGGAAGTCCTACTTTTTACCATCCAGTCCCGGATGAGAGCCAACAATCAGAAAGTGTATACCCCTCACGATGGGAAACTAGTGTCGGACATCAACCGGGTACAGCTGTGTTTTCCGTTATACATTGCCAGCGGGGTAGCTGAGTTTCTGACAAGGGTGCAGGGAATGGTTACTGGACAGGGGTAAACCAAGACACTTTCTGTTGGTGTTATTAACTATACACATGCTGGCTATTTGGGGTACTCTCCGAACCTAGTTCTGAGAGGTCCAACACCACGCACTGTCCATTAGCTCAGATGCCAAGAGTCCATTTTTGGAGCTAGTTTTATAGCCTAGTCTCTATAGATTCCTGAGTTTCTCTGACTATAGAATGAATATTACCTGCTTATGACAGAAGGGAAACACCTTCGACATTTCAGGGATTAGAGGCTTTGCACCACTTGGACGTTCTAACACAATGAAAGTAGCCATGAGTCAGTGAGAATGTACCGAACACCCACGTTATGTCAGGCCAGCAGTCTAAGGCAGGTTTAGGGGAGGAGGGAACTGGGAAGTCAGGACCAGTGCTCCCCAAATCTTTGGCAGCCAAACGATTTGCTGAACTTCAGGCTCTGCCTAGATTCCTGAAATCACTCAGTGTTGGGTAAAAGAGCTGGAACCCCCAAATCCAGGTGTGCCCCTGTGCCCCAAGAATTCTCATCTATCCCCCACACAGGCCTGGGAAAGCCTGGAGGAGGCTGAGTATCAGCGGGAGCTGGCCCTGAGGAATGAGCTCATTCGGCAAGAGAAGCTGGAGCAGGTGGCCCGGCGCTTTGACCGGAAGGCTGCCATGAGGGAGACGTGGCTCAATGAAAACCAGCGCCTGGTGGCTCAGGTAGTGGGAGACACACAGGCATGGCAGGCGGCGGAAGCTTTCCAGAGCCCGCAGCGGTCAGCGAGGTTGGAAACCCAGCTTGCCTCTCGGTGGCAGCCAGATAAGCCCCGCCACAGGCCTTGCAGCCCTGGGTAGATCCAGATTCATGCTTGAGGAAGAACCCTCCACGGACTCTGGCCCTGAGGGCTAGGTCAGATTCCACTAGCTGAAAATTGACCCCGGGGATGTGTGCCATAAGAGCGTCTGTTGCTTCCCACTTAAGAGTCTGGACCCAAATGTCCAGGCAGGGCAAAGCCAGTGTTGTGAGAGAACTGGAGAGTGCGTGCCTCATTGATCATGTGGGGGCGAACCATGTGCTTACAGCTGCGGGGCTCCTGAGTGAGCAGTGGCTCCTTCCTGCCCAGAATTAGGCAGGTCCCTCCCAGGCAGGGTGGCGAGCGCCAGCAGGCCGCCAAAGTGCTCTGTGAGTGACTCACACACAGCATTCCCGCATGCATGGCGCAGTGAATAAAATTATGAGCTGCTTTTCAAGGTTCCTGTAAGACATGTAGTCTTTGGAACTTGGCTCTGACAAGATCAGCTGAAAAAGGCAGCACAGAATGAGCTCCTTGGCAATGGGTTTTCCCTTCAAGCCACTGTTCAGAGGGAGCCCACCATTTCTCTGTGTTTAAGGGGACCAGCCAAGGGGGGCCCGAGTAAGTTGCCTGCTTTTCTCCCCATGGGCCAGGATAACTTTGGGTATGACCTGGCAGCCGTGGAGGCCGCCAAGAAGAAGCACGAGGCCATCGAGACGGACACAGCTGCTTACGAGGAGCGGGTGAAGGCCCTGGAGGACCTGGCCCAGGAGCTGGAGAAGGAGAATTACCACGACCAGAAGCGCATCACGGCCCGCAAGGACAACATCCTGCGCCTGTGGAGCTACCTGCAGGAGCTGTTGCGGTCCCGGCGCCAGAGGCTCGAGGCCACCCTGGCCTTGCAGAAGCTCTTCCAGGACATGCTGCACAGCATTGACTGGATGGACGAGATCAAGGTGCGCCCCGGAGGCTGCCCGTCCCCACACTCTGGTGCCCCTGAGCCCACCTCCATGCCAGGGGGAGGGGGTGTCCTGCAGTTAGCGCTGCTTCCTCAGATGCCTCCCAGCCAAGCATGACCCTGAGCCAGCATGGAGAAACTGAGGCACTGTAGTGCCTGGCTGCCTCCACCTAGCAACTGCTTGGCTCCCTCTGCTGCAGACAAGTCACCAGCCCGGGTCCACAGTATTTCAGGTGATCGAGACATCTTAGGTTCATGGTAGCACAGGTGCCAACCTACAGGACCTAGAAATGATAGAACAGAATCAGGAGTCCAGAGAATCAGGCTCTGAGTGATCACAGTTTGAGTCTGGTTCGAATCCGGACCTCCCAGCCTAGGGGCAACCAGGAAGTCTGAATCTCCTCTCCCTCCACCACAGCGGGTCTCTCCAAGGATGCCCAGCAGACCGACCATGGAGCTTTCTTAAAATACACATGCTCAGGCCCCAAACCTTGAGACAGATGCAGGAGATCGAGTGTGAGGCTTGAGCTTCTGAAAAACGTTCCATGCCTGGTTTGAAAGGCACTCCCAGTAGGAAGTCCTGTTCTGTAGCTTCCACGCTAGTGGCAACCATTTTCCAGCTGCATCTGACTCCCAGGCCCAAGTACCATGGACACTCCTTTTGGAGGCGTCTCTTCTCCTAGCAGGTATGTGTCTTCACCTCTCCTCGTCCCCTCTACCTGGTCTGTCCTCTTTGCCAGGCTCACCTCTTGTCTGCCGAGTTCGGGAAGCACTTGTTGGAAGTCGAGGACTTGCTACAGAAGCACAAGTTGATGGAGGCTGACATCGCCATCCAAGGGGACAAAGTGAGGGCCATCACCGAAGCCACACTGCAGTTCGCCGAGGAGAAAGGTGAGGCCGTAGCTGTCTCTCCATCCCCTGGCTCAGCGTTCTAGCACCCGAGCTTGGATAAGTCTCCTAGCTTTAGAATTCTGCTTCTTCCATCAGCTAATGGTGCAAGAAAGAAGCTTGAAGGAAAGCAGAATTCTCTAGGGAGCAGGCAGCTGCTTGGGTAATCTGATCAGAAGGCATTTAGAAGCACCAACAAGGCATCATCTGCCTTTCATTCACTCTGCTAGTTCAAGATACAACAGAGACAATCTAGGTTTCTAGCCTCCGGTCTTTTTTTTTTTTTTAATTTAAATAAAGTTTTATTTAAGTAATCTCTACACTCAACGCAGGGTTCAAACTCATGAGATCAGGAGTCCCACACTCTTCCCACTGAGCCAGCCAGGCACCCCTCTAGCTTTGGGTCTTAAATAAAAGAAGTTGTTGCCTTCTTGAAGAGTCATCTTGAAATTTGGGCCTTTTTATTTTGTTTTATTTTATTTTATTTAATCTTGTAAATTAATAAGATTAATTTATTTGAGAGAGAGAGGAGGGACAGAGGGAGAGGAAAAGAGTTTTAAGCAGACTTTGTGTAGCGCTCAGAGCCCAACGTGGGGCTCAATCTCATGACCTTGCGCTGAAATCAAGATTCAGATGCTTAACCAACTGTACCCCCAAGGTTCCCGTGTGTCTGGGCCCTTTAAAAAAAAAAAATTCTTGTGCGTTTCTACTGAGAGCAGACCCAACTTACCGTGAAGTGTTAGTAAGAACTAATTATAAAGAACCTGGCCTGCCATCTGAGCAATTGCCCCCCGCCACATGTAATCCCACAGCCCCGTGAGACGGCAGGTTCTAGATCATGTGGTTCTAGCCTAATTCTTTGCCCGCAAGCAAAGCCCTGTCCTCTTTTGTCTTCTCTTCTCTCATACCTCCCAGGATACCAGCCTTGTGACCCCCAGGTTATCCGGGACCGTGTCAGCCACCTGGAGCAGTGCTTTGAGGAGCTGAGCAACATGGCAGCTGGGCGGAAGGCCCAGCTGCAGCAGTCTAAGCGGCTCTGGAAGTTCTTCTGGGAGATGGATGAGGCGGAGAGCTGGATCAAGGAGAAGGAGCAGATCTACTCTTCCCTGGACTATGGCAAGGACCTGACGAGTGTGCTCATCTTACAGCGTAAGCACAAGGCCTTCGAGGATGAGCTCCGCGGGCTAGACACCCACCTGAAGCAGATCTTCCAGGAGGCAGAGGGCATGGTAGCACGGAAGCAGTTTGGGCACCCACAGATTGAGGCCCGAATCAAGGAGGTGTCCGCCCAGTGGGACCAGCTGAAGGAGCTGGCTGCCTTTCGCAAGAAGAACCTCCAGGATGCCGAGAACTTCTTCCAGTTCCAGGGGGACGCTGACGACCTGAAGGCTTGGCTGCAGGATGCCCACCGGCTGCTCTCAGGCGAAGACGTGGGGCAGGATGAGGGGGCCACGAGGGTCCTGGGGAAGAAGCACAAGGACTTCCTGGAGGAGCTGGAGGAGAGCCGCGGGGTGATGGAGCATCTGGAACAGCAGGCCCAGGGCTTCCCCCAAGAGTTTCGGGATTCCCCAGATGTGACCAACCGGCTGCAGGCCCTCCGGGAGCTCTACCAGCAGGTGGTGGCCCAGGCAGACCTGCGTCGGCAGAGGCTGCAGGATGCCCTGGACCTGTACACGGTGTTTGGGGAGACAGATGCCTGTGAGCTGTGGATGGGGGAGAAGGAGAAGTGGCTCGCCCAGATGGAGATCCCAGACACGCTGGAGGACCTGGAGGTCGCACGGCACAGGTCAGAGCCTGACTTTCTCTTCCTCACCTCCCTCCACTATGGCCTGCACTCCACCCCGCCGCCTAGGGTGGAAACCACCTCTAGATCAGCAAGGTTCTCTTTGAGAGCTGATGGGATGCCCTTTATGGCTGAGGCTATGCACCAGAGTCACGGGTTTTAATCAGCCTCTGTGGCTTTGGGTCCTTTACCCTGTGGGGCCTTCCTTAAAATAAAGGGGGTCTTTCTAGACAACGTATTGAATTCCTTTTCAGCCACAGCAGTCTTTGTTCAAGTGAATTGTAGACAGAACCCCCGACATAGAGCACAGAGGAAAACAGAACTGTTGAGTGCAGGGGGAGGTGAGCAGTCAGAACCCCACCAGCTCTAGCTTTCCATGGCAGTTCCTCAGCCACAGAACCCCAAAGGGCCCCAGGGACCAGTTTCCAAAGCACCAGGCTGCAAGGCTCCAGTACTCTCATTGTTTCTGTGCTCGGGCATGGGGGAGCACGCCTCCTATCCACGTGGCCCTCTTAAGCGCAGAATCAGAGAGGTGAGGAGCATGAGAGGCCGCTCCCTAGGGCATGCTGAGGTGGGCCCAGGTTGGCGGAGGGAAGGGCCCACTTTCAGAACTACATTCCTGCCCCCAGCCGTGCCCCCTTCTCCTAGGACAGAGCACCTGGCTGGGGAGGGGCTCCTTCAGGGCAAGGTGCCAAGGCATGGAATTAGGGCCCAAGGACAGCAGCTGTGGCCCTGGAGGTATGGCAGGTGTTCTCTGAGGTGATCAGCAGTCCCCCGTACACACCTCTTCATTCCCCTCTGCCTTTCCATTGAGCCAGTGGCCTATGGAGTAAGCAACCAGCATTTTACTAGCCTGGTCCAAGAAATCCTAAACCATGAAACTGAACCCATGAACCAGAAAATAGGGTATGTCAGCATATCTTTTTCCTTTCTGCCCCCTTACCCCGTCAAATGTGTTCTGAAGATGGAAGGAGAAAGCAAGAGCTCCACAGTCCAGAGACCGGGCAGTAGGCAAAGTGCCCATGCTTCCTCCCTAGTCATCTTCTTTGTCCATATCAGGTTTGACATCCTGGACCAGGAGATGAAGACCTTGATGACGCAGATTGATGGCGTGAACCTTGCTGCCAACAGCCTGGTAGACAGCGGCCACCCTCGCAGTGGGGAAGTGAAGCAGTACCAGGACCACCTGAACGACAGGTGGGGCGTGGGTAGGGCTGGGGCTGAGGGCGCCTTCTCTCGGCAACCCACTGGGGGGTGACCCCGACGTCAGGATGCCTGCCATGCACTGCCCTTTTGTCCCCTCCAAGCTCTTGTCTTTCTCAGCCCCAGTCTCCTTCTGACTCTGGAGCAGTAGCAACAAGGGGGAGGCCCTGCACGGTGAATGCGGTGAATGCCGCAGGGGCTGGGCACGTACCCTGGGGGATGGAGGGGCCATTCTGAGTGCACGCGTTGTTAGAATCAGGCCATATGCTACTCATGCCACATTTCCCCAGACATTCCTAGGCCAGGAAAATGGCTTTCTGAGAGCTCTTAAGTACTGTCCATAAAAGAAAGCTCCAGCCTGTGCCAGAATGCAGCATCAATAATGAGGATGGCTTGAATGAAGAGAATTAGCAGGAAGCCTTGAGCACACTTTGTGGCTGGAACAAAAAAAACAGGCCCTGAGGAGCCTTTGGAGATGGGGTGCTTTCGGTCTGAGGTGTAATTGCCATGAGTTCCTCAAGGATCTCTGAGGATAGCACATGACAGCCTCTGTTCCTGTTTGTTACCCAGGGCCCCGCACACACAATACCATGTGTTCACTAGCTCCTCATTGTCCCAGCCCCTTTCCCCACACTTGTATCTGAGCCTTGCTCTGCCCGAAGCGATCTGGGAGGTGGAGTTAGGAAAAGACCCAGTTGTGTGGGGAAATAAAATAAAAGGAGGTCAGCACAGTAGAGAACCTCTGTGATCTGAGGTCTATGTAGAAGGGGAAGATGCTCCTTTGTTCTTTGGGCTTGGAGGTTTTTTGGGGGGAGGGGGTTTGTTATGTGTGTGAGTGTGCAAGACAGGCAGGAAGAACTTGTCAGCTGTATATCTGTTGTCTTAATGAGCTATAGTCAGAGAATGATCTTTACGGATCCCTAAGCTTTGTGCCATCCAAAATGAAATACATCAGGGCACTTGCCATCCTTAGGTGAGAGAGAACTGGGGACATGAAATGATAAGATGGTTTTCTTGAGAGCTGAAACATACCTGAGGAGTCATCGAGTCTGGCCAAATATCCCCATACCACGGTGTCTCACACAAACACGTCCAGGTGTGGGGCTCACCCCTTACCATGCAGCCCATCCCATTCGGAGGCAACTCCTTTGGGTTAAAAGGTTTGACCTCCTATTGAACGGAAATCTCCCTCCTTGCAATTTGTACACCTTGGTTCTGTCCCTGCCCTTTAGAGAGATCAAAACTGATTCTAATTCTTCTTCCATGTGATAGCTCTTCAAATACTTCTAGGAACAACGGTCATTCTTCCTCTTTGCCCGCAGTCCTGCCTCTGAGCCTCCACTGTCCTCTGCCCCAGAGCACATTCTCCTCCAACTCTCTGCTCCAGATCCGGCCCCTCCTTTGGGCCAGTTCAGGTTCCTCTTTTTCCCTGTGTCCAAGATGAAAAAAAACTGTCTTTCCCTCTTCTGTACTGGTTTAGAGCTTCACATTCTACCGTGTATTATAATTATTTTTATCCTGAAGTACTTTCCTTCTGGACTATAAGCAAGTAAAAGCAGTATCTTTACTGCCCACAGTGCTCTGAGCACCAAGTACATAATTGAGCTTTCCTCTGTTTGGTATATTCTTTTCCCGGATAGCCACATGACTTACTCCCTTACATTATTCAGATCTCAGCTCCCATGTCAGCTTATTGAAGCGGACTTCACTGACCCAGTTGAAAACACCACTACGTCCTTTCCCCCCAGCCCCTGTGCCTCTATCTCGTTACCTCTCTTTATTTTTTCATGGTGTTTGTCACCACTTGGATGAATCATGGACTTATTTATTTGTCCCTTCCCACTCAAATAAGAACAAGCACTTTGCTTTGTTCGTTGCTACCTCCCTAGAGCCTAGAACAGTGCCTGGCACAAGGCACAGGACAGTTGCCTGATAAATGCTTAGTGAATGAGTGAACAGGGACAAAACTGAAATATCTTCGGCCAAGCTTGGCACATAGGAGTCATTCATACACTGACTGAAGAAGTGATCGCCTTCTGCCGTGTGCACTCCAGTTGACCAATATTTTTTTTTTTTAATAATCTTGGGCCCAGGACCAAACCTGGGGTTCTGAGTTGGCCTGGCCGGGGCTGACTGGAGTGGTTCTGTCAACTTGTTTTATCTGGGACACAGCGCAGCAGGGAGAACCATACGTAATTCCCAGCCCATGCTCTCTGTGGCCTCTGCTGGTGGCTGCAGTAAGTCCACACCAGGAAAAACCTAGAAAATCACCATGAGGCTTCTTGCACGGAGGCACAGAATTCTCCAGAACCAAAGGACTTCTCTGTCTAGGACGGAAGCTGCGAAATCTATGGGCTCTTGCTCTTCTCTCTCCTGGTATTCCCAGGTCTCCCCTGCCTGTCTCCTACTTCTCTTCACAGACCTGTCTAGCAGCTGTTGCCACACCTTGGGAGGACCCACAGTACACTCTCCCCAGGCCATTTGCCTAGTCCCGCAGCTTCCTTCCCCCAGGTGCTGGGGGTACAGAGAAGGGTGAGATAGGCAGGGCCCCATCCTTAAGTAGGTCACTACAGTGGCAGTGCTAGAGAGGTGCTCACTGAGATCCCGCTCAGATGGCTGCCACGAGACCTGCCCCCATCCCCCTTGTCACCCTCACAGCTCTCTTAACCCTCTCTGCCTGGTGTGTGCTTTATACACAGCATTCTATACTACAGTTATTTTGTGAGCTTGTCTTACTTTTTCTCTAAATCACACACTCCAGGAGGCAAAGTCTGGCCAGGACTATATCCTCCCAACAGCTAACATAATGCTTACACCTTGTGGGTGTTCAGGAAAGATGGGCTCAGCAAATAAGCAGTCCGCACACTCCCATGTGCTTACATGTTACGTACATATTACATGTCACTCAGAGTGAGTCCAAGGAAAGGGTCCCTGGTGGTCTTGGGCCAGGGCAATGCACAGCTCTTTAGAAGAGGGTGATCGGGAGCTCTGGCCAACCCCAGACCCCAGGGAATGTGCCAGACCTTTGCATAGTTCCCGTTTCCGTGCCAACCCTGCGTCTGAAGGTTAAGGTTATGCTATCCGTTTCAGTTATAACCCCAGCTTCTCCCTTCCCTCTTCCCCCTCCTCCTTCATAAGGCCTGTTTTCTTTTAGAGCCAAGATGACTTTTTTAGGCCTTGGGTACTTTGAACACGGTCTCGGGCATTTGTATGGTTCCTCTAGCGGGAACCTATGGGTTCCTATGGGGTCCTATGCCCTGAAATTGTCCTTAAGTTGATAAATGTAAGCTTTCTAATTATTTTCAGCATTTTAAAAAATTTGGGGAAGTTCTATGCTTGCCCAAAATTCAACTACCTACAGAGCCAAGCTAAGAGTCCTTTTCATTCCTTTACTTATGGTTGGAATCACATCACTGCTTGCCCCCTGCTGATGGGAAGATCTGATTGACAGTTTATATTGTCTTGGGGAAAATTGGATAAATGAGTTTTACTCATCACAGTGTGTTGGGTAGATGATTTTTTCAGGGTACAAGATCTATGGGGAGAGACTCCGGTGGGAATCTGGGTAAGGAGGCCCTGTGAGAAATGTTAAAGAGGGTGTCTCATTATCATATGATCTCACTGATATGAGAAATTTGAGTAACAAGACAGAGGATCTAAGGTAAAGGGAGGGAAAAATGAAACAAGACAAAACCAGAGAGGGAGACAAGCCATAAGAGACTCTTAATCTCAGGAAACAAACTAAGAGTTGCTGGGGGGAGGGGAGGGAGGGAGTTGCTGGGGTGGCTGGGGGATGGACACTGGGGAGGGTATGTGCTATGGTGAGTGCTGTGAATTGTGTAAGACTGAGGATTCACAGGCTTGTACCCCTGAAGCAAATAAGATATTATATGTTAATTAAAAAAAAAAAAGAAAAGGCAAAAGAAAGAGGGTGTCTCTGTGTCCCCCTTTGCAGGTGGCAGGCGTTCCAGACCATAGTGTCAGACCGACGGAAGGCAGTGAACTCAGCCCTCCGGGTGCGAAACTACTGCGTGGATTGTGAGGAGACCAGCAAGTGGATCGAGGACAAGATGCAGGTGGTACGGTCCATGAAGGACCTGGCAGGCATCATTGCCATCCAGCGGAAGCTGTCAGGGCTGGAGCGCGACGTGGCCGCCATCCGGGATCGTGTGGGTGCCCTGGAGCAGGAGTCGCAGCAGCTGATGGCCTCACACCCCGAGCAAGGAGAGGACATCGGCCAGTGGCAGGCACGTGTGGAGACGCTGTGGCAGCAACTACAGGAAGCCCTAAAAGAGCAGGAAGCCTCGCTGGGGGAAGCCAGCAAGCTCCAGACCTTCCTGCAGAATCTGGATGACTTCCAGGCCTGGCTGTCCATGGCCCAGAAATCCGTGGCGTCCGAGGACATGCCTGAGTCTTTCCCAGAGGCCGAGCAGCTCCTACAGCAGCACGTGGCCATCAAAGACGACATTGACAGGCACCAAGAGAGCTTCCAGAAGGTCAAGGAGTCCGGGGAGAATGTGATCCGTGATCAGACAGACCCAGAGTACCTGCTCCTGCGCCAGAGGCTGGAGGGCCTGGATGCTGGCTGGGATGCCCTGTGCCGCATGTGGGAGAGCCGCAACCTCTCTCTCGCCCAGTGCCTCGGCTTCCAGGAGTTCCAGAGAGATGCCAAGCAAGCTGAAGCCATCCTCAGCAATCAGGTAGGGAGAGGTATTCGGGGCTGGTCGGGGGAGGGTGGTATCTCTCAGGGCAAGAGCCCTGGTGAGTCTATGAATGTCCTCAGAGACCAAATCCTACTTTTTTTACATTTAAATTTTAGTTAGTTAACATACAGTTGCAATATTTTTTTCAGGAGTAGAATTCAGTGATTCGTCACTTACATATGACACCCAGTACTCAACACAAGTGCTCTCTTTAACCCCATCACCCAGCGAGCCCATCCCCCTTCCCCCTCCTTCTCTCAACCCTCAGCTTGTTCTTAACAGTAAGAATCTCTTATGGCTTGTTTCCCTCTCTCCTTTTTTTCTTTTCCCCCTTCCCATATGTTCATCTCTTTCTTAAATTCCACATATGAGTGAGATCATATGATATTTGTCTTTCTCTGACTGATTTTGCTTAGCATAATACCCTCTAGATCCATCCACGTTGTTATAAATGGCTAGAAATCATTGTTCCTCATGGCTGAGTAATATTCCATACACACACCCACACACACACACACCACATCTTCTTGATCCATTCCTCAGTCAGTGGACATCTGGGCTCTTTCCATAGTTTGGCTGTTGTAGACGTTGCTGCTATAAACATACATTGGGTGCATGGACCCCTTTAGATCTGTATTTTTGTATCCTTTGGGTAAATACCCAGGAGTGCAATTTCTGGGTCGTAGGGCAGCTCTATTTTTAGCTTTTGAGGAATCTCCATACTGTTTTCCAGAGTGGCTGCACCAGTTTGCATTCCCACCAACGGTGCAAGAAGGTTCCCTTTTCTCCTCAAATTCTAGATTCCGAGGACCCTCTCTAGCCATGAACTGGGGAGAAATCCTCTTTGTTCCTTATCACATGCCTTTTCCAGCCCTGTTTCCTAAACTGTGCCCTGTTCTTGGGTCAGCTAGAGGCTGGAGAGGTGAATTTTCCCCTGAGCCATTACCCTTCCATGTGGCTTCAGGCACACTGTTCACTGGATGCCCCTGAGGCAGGGGTGGGGGCAAGGCCTAGGGCGCTGCCTCTTCCTTGCACAACTCTAGGGAGCACTGTTCATGCTGAAGCCTAGATGGCTGCACAGGGTGCTTCTGCCTGGCACGTGCCCTCACTGCCTTCCCAGCATGTGTCCATGCCTTGTCTGGAAACTTGCTTCAACAGGAATATACTCTGGCTCACTTGGAGCCCCCAGACTCCCTTGAAGCTGCAGAGGTTGGAATCCGGAAGTTTGAGGACTTCTTGGTATCTATGGAGAACAACCAGGATAAGGTCTTGAGTCCTGTGGACTCTGGAAACAAGCTGGTAGCTGAAGAAAACCTCTACTCAGACAAGATCCTGGAGAAGGTGCAGCTGATCGAAGACAGGTACTCTCCGCCCCCAAGGTCACGGGGCCAGAGCCAGATAGGGCAGGTGATGTTGTGCAAGGTCCCCGGGCTCAGCACTGTGGTGACAACAGCTTCTGGCTTCCCTTCCAGGCACAGGAAAAACAAGGAGAAGGCCGAGGAGGCTTCCGTCATTCTGAAGGACAACTTGGAGCTCCAGCACTTCCTCCAGAACTGCCAGGAGGTGAGGCTGCAGCAAGGCGGGCCACCTTGAAGGAGATTCCCTGCTAGGACCAAAGTGCCCTAGAGGTAGAACAGTCATGGGGGCTGGGGGGACACCCGGCTGGCTCAGTCCAAAGAGCAGGATCAGTTGATCTTGGGGTCATGGGTTTGAGCCCCATATTGGGGTGTACAGATTACTAAAAAAAAAAAAAATGAACTTGAAAGAAAAAAAGAAAGAAATTGAGAGTCTAGAATTTCATAAAGGGAGCTCTGAGGTCATCCTCTAGAATCTTGGGTTCTATAATTTTTTCCCCAAATCTACAAATTTTAATTTGCCTAGTCCAGGGCAGGGTTTCTCAAAGAGTGGCCTGAGGGCTATCTCTACGGAAGTCCCCTGGGACCCTGGTCAAGGCCGGCTTCAAGGACATGCCACCTGTGCATTCATCTAGGGCCTGTGCTCAGAAGGGCCTCATGCTTGCTTTAATGCTCTGTGATTGCCATCTTAAAATTCTTTTTTTTTTTTTTTAGATTTTATCTATTTATTTGATAGATGGCAAGAACAGGGGAGCAGCAGGCAAAGAGCAAGGGAGAGAAGCAGACTGCCCTCTGAGCAGGAAGCCTGATGCAGCACTCGATCCCAGGACCCCGGAATCATAACCTGAGCTAAAGGCAGATGCTTAGTGACTGAGCCACCCAGGTGCCCCTGCCATCTTGAAATTCTTAATAATTTTGAGCATTCCCATTTTGCACTGGGCCCTGCAAATTATGGAGCCACTCCTGGCACTTAAATGCAAAGTCCTGGGCCCCACTCAGGCCCAGATGAATCAAAACCTCAAGGAATGAGAGAGACAATAGTGTTTTCAACAAGTCTCCTTGTTGGAGAGCTGACTCAGAAGGTCCTTGCTCAGCCTGGGGTGAGCTGTGCAAGGAATGTTTTTAACCTACACTCCTGGAGTACACATGGAGTCCTTCCACGAGTGGTACTTCTGTGTGGAATGTACTTTCTCTGACTTCTTCCTCTCTCCCATCCTCATACCCCTTTCCTCTCAGCCCAAACAACTTTGTTTTCATCTGCCTCTGCCCTTGGCACCAGCCAGGCTTGGTCTGCTGCCAGGACATCTTGGAAACATCGGATGCTCATCAGAGTTCTTCCTCATTGTGATTTACAAGATCTGCCCTTGGCTTCTTCCTCAGATAACATTTTCTCTGTGTTTATTAGTGATTTCTCACCCTACTGCCAAGGGGTGGACTTATCTATCCATTCAATAAGCATTCACTGAGTTCTTTCAGTGGGCCAGGCCCTGTCCTAGGTCCTGGAAAAATGGCAAGAAGCATAACTATCCCTGGTGTCACTGGGGAAGACGCTCAGGTACCGCTGTTTTAGCCCTGAGACAACATAGGTTAAGTTGCTTGTGCTCAGAGTCAGGGACCGAGCGTTTTAGAGAGTAGTGCTCTGCTGTATTCATACTTCCTCTCCTGGGCTGCCTTCTGCAGTCAGAGGTGAACAGTAGGTCCTGCCCTGAGCCCCTGGCCAAAGAGGTCCACTCAAAGACTGTTGGACTCCCTCCTTCTGTCCACAGCTCACTCTCTGGATCAATGACAAGCTGCTAACATCTCAGGATGTCTCCTATGATGATGCGAGAAACCTGCAAAACAAGTGGGCAAAGCACCAGGCCTTTATGGCAGACCTGGCTTCCCACCAGGGGTGGCTGGATAGCATCGATGCGGTAAGTGAAATGAGTGGGGCGCGCTGGGGGCTCTCTTCCCAGATATGCATGCCTGAGTGGGGCTTCACACGGCACGTGGACACTGTCTGAAGCTTACTGGACAGTATAGAACCTGGAAGTGAAACACTTCTCTAAAGAGTAGTCCAACCTTCAGAACTCCTGCCACGTCCAGTCCTGTTAGGCCTGGTCAGAATCGGTGTGTCCTCTGTGGCACCTGAGTCTGGGGACAGTCCAGACACTGAGGAGACCTGGGTGCATGCCTCAGCCTCTGGTGCCGGGATACCTGCTCTCTCCGTGTGCTTCCATTATCCTCACCAGAGCCCCAGCACTGTCCTGCCCGAGGGCAGGGGGACATGGGAGATGAGCAGAGTGGTCCAGGGGACTGTGGAACCTCATCGTTTGGACGGGCAAGACCACCAGGGAGTGGTCATTCACACCCCTCATAGATGGGGGACACTAAGAGGATGACCCCCTTATAATAAGCCCGCTCCAGGGCCCACATTAAATGTAGCTGGCATTCCATCCGGGCATCCCTCACCTTTGCTCCCCACTGCTGTGGCTGTCCAGGAAGAAGCAGGTGTAGGGTCCACACAGGGCAGCAGCCATAGTGGTCATAGGTGCAGACTCTGAGCCAGACTGTCTGGATACTCAACCTCCCTGAACCTCAGTCTCTCCATCTGAAAAATGAGGGTAAGCACAGTACCTGCGCAAGGGAATTGTGAACACTAAAGCGCTTAGCGTGCATAGTACTTGGCGCTTATGAGGTACTCAGTAAATATTGGCTGTTACTAGCAACATGCGTTCCTAGGCCCAAATCGCATTACACTGTACCCACCCGAAAGGGTACATTTATGCAGGTGAAAACCCGGTAAGACAAACCCAGTAACTAAAAGATACCACCGAAGACTAGTGCACAGCTGCTGGGAAGACCATTGAGAGCATAGAGTCCTTTCCATGCTGGCTGGACCTGAGTGGATCTTGTTTCTTTTTTTTCTTTTAATTAAAAAATAATTTAGCATCAGCTGATCCTGGTCAGCAACAACTCCCCATACTACAGTCTTCCGGAGTCCTTAGCCCCAGACATAACCCTCCCTGTCACATCTTCTCCTGCAAATAACTCTGGGGGTGCAGAGTCAGCGGAGCCTCAGCTGCATTCTAGGCACATTCTTTGCCTCCCTGACTTCCCCCTCAGTTAACCCCTGGCAACTACAAACCTTAGAGGGCCACTCCAAGACTGCTGGGCCTCAGAGGGTGAACCCTCCTGCTTCCCCATGCAGGAAGGAAAGCAGCTGATGGAGGAGAAGACCCAGTATACAGCACGGGTGGCCCAGAGGCTGGAAGACTTGCACCGGCTCTGGGATGAGCTTCAGGCCACCACACAGGAGAGGGCCCAGCACCTCTCCGCTGCCAGGAGCTCCTACCTGCGCTCACAGACCCACGCCGACCTCAACAAGTGGATCAGTGCTATGGAGGACCAGCTGCGGTCTGATGACCCCGGCAAGGACCTGACCAGTGTCAACCGGATGTTGGCGAAGCTGAAGGCACGTGAGTGGGTTGTAGACTGGGGATGTCGGAATAGGAGATCTTGGGGAGGGAATCTGAAACCTGAAAGTGAGGACTGCTTCTGTTCCTCTTAGCGGGGCTTGAGCAAAACTGTCTCCTGATTGATAACCCATCTCCTATCCCTTTGCAGTAGGTAAGACAGGGATCCTGGGTTAAAAAAAAAAAAAATGCACAGGAAGTATAGGACAGGCACCTGTGGGAAGGCTGAGTGGGGGCATCCAGAGAGACTTCCTGGGGGAGGCCGGACCTTTAAGGATGGATAGGATATGGATGATGAAGCAGACGCAGGGCTACCCAGGGGCCAAGGCTGTTACCGACACTGTCCTCTTGTGTCCCAGCGTGTGGAGGACCAAGTGAACGTGCGGAAGGAGGAGCTGGGGGAGCTGCTTGCCCAGGTGCCCTCGCTGGGAGAGGAGGCAGGAGACACAGACATGAGCATCGAGAGGCGGTTCCTGGACCTCCTAGAGCCCCTGGAGAGGAGGAAGAAGCAGCTGGAATCATCCCGAGCCAAGCTGCAGATCACCAGGGACTTAGAAGATGAGACGGTGAGTTGGCTGCAGACCTCACCCCCAGGGGCCGAGCAGGCAACTGCCGTCAGGATAACTGGCTGCCGCCCAGGGCAGTTCTTAACACATGTCCAGTCCTCTTACCTCCTGATCTCAGAGCCGTTATGATAACTTATTAAATATGAAAGTAAAGCCAGTGCTTTTGGAACAGTAACTCAGTCATGGACTTTGAGACAGACTTGGGTTCAAGATCCAGCTGTGTTACCTTCCACCTGGATGACCAGAAGCAAATTATTTGGGACCTCAATTCAAAATATCTAAGTGTCCCCATCTGTAAAATGGGGACAAAACCCTGACGGGGTGTGGAAAGAGAACCAGGGAGACACAGCAGGAGAGAGCTCTGTCTGACTCTGTCTGGGGTGAGTGCTTGGGAGAGGGTGGCCACAGTTGTCATCCGCTGAGCCCCGCCTTCTGGTCTCTACAGCTCTGGGTGGAAGAGAGGCTGCCTCTGGCCCAGTCAGCCAACTACGGCACAAATCTGCAAAATGTGCAGCTGTTAATGAAGAAGAATCAGGTGAGTCCTGCTTCATCTCGTTAGTGCCCCCACCTGCCCCCTCCCTGCCGCAGCCCTGCCCTATCCTGCTCTGCACAGGGCGGAATGCCCAGCCCTGACCTTCAGAGGGCCAGCAACAGCAGATCATTATTCTTGTTGGTAGCTGTGGGGCCCCCAGATCCCATAAAAAGAGAGCTTTGGTGATGGCAGAGAGAATTCTAGGAAGTCCATGGCGGGGCTGGTAGGGGGTGTCCAGATGATTTGGGATTTGGAGCCATTCAGACCCACCAGAGCATCGAGTGACTACAGAACCCCGGCCTGGGGGGTTATGTGTCCCGTGTCCTCCCTGAAAGGAAGCCCATAGCTCCTGGTTTCTTTCCTAAGACTGACTTGCCCCTCTTTCAGGACTGAGCCTGGCCTGTTGGATATCCTCAGGGCAAGTAGGCCCCGTTTTTCTGCCACGTGAGGATACTCATGGGAAGCCTTTAAACTCGGCCCCTGAGCCTATTGGAGCAACATCCATTTGCTGTTCTGCTCTTTCTTAAACCTCATGGATCATTTCAGAGGCCCTGGTCAGACTCCTGGAATGAGCAGATGCAATACTTCCTCCTGTATCGGGAGTACAAGTGTCGCGTTTTGTCTTCCAAGAAGGCCAGCTGCACGCGCTCATGGTGTCTCTGAGGCCAGCCCCTGGTCTTGGGCAGAGAGTGGCTCCTCCTGCCTGCTGAACTCTCTGGGTCAGGAAGTGGGGGCAGCCACGCCCAAGAGCAATGAGAGCCTGGGAAATGGTCTTGGAGAAGAGCAGTGTGTCCCAGAATTTGAGTCAGCTTAGCACATCCTTGGAAGAAAGGCCTTGGCAGCCAGCACTTCCTCACAATAACAGCAGCTGACATCTGCTCACAGAGCCCAGCAACTGGGCAAGGGTCTGAGTTACATTCAAAGAGGTGTCTGAAAAGTTCCTCAGACTGTTTGCTTCCAGTTGACATTGACCTAGTCACAAAGGCTCCAGTGTGCACAGACAGGGTCTTGGGCTAGAAGGTAGTAGATAGGGGTTCCACTAATGCCACAACCTGTAGTTAAAGGAAATAGACTGGTAGAAGGCAGTATCCTGGGGCCTCAGTTTCCTCAACTGTAAAACGAGCTGACATCAGTCCTTTTGACACTAAAGTCTTTGACTCTATCTGGCCTCAGTGCCAGAAGACTCCCAGCTCTGCTGAATGAAGGTTGCTATTTCAGGAAAAGGGCAAGATAAATATGGGTGGGTTTCCCCAACCAAGAAGGGAAAGATAGCCTCTTGGGAAAGCCTGGCTGCCCTCGTCAAGACTTCTCCAGGCTAGACCAGCTATAGCTTAAATCTCATTTTATCATGCCCTCTGTTGCAGTGGTTCTCAACTTCAGTATGCACCAGAGTCACCCAGAGGGCTTGTTAAAACACAGTTGACCAGGCTCAGTCTCAGGTCTACTGAATCAGACTCTGGGAGGAGAGCCTGGTAACTTGCACATCTCTCAAGATCCTAGATGATGCCGATGCTGTTGGTGGGGGATCCCACTTTGAGAACCACTGCTCTGATGGTTATCCATTACAGCTAGAACCACTCCTGCAAGGGCTCATATGAATGGTTCTCAACTTCGGCTGCACAGTAGAATTACCTGGGGGACATCTAAACCTGTGGATGCTCCGTTCCTACCTCAGACCAATTAATTAAGGTCCCTGGGGATAGGGCCCTGACTGTGTGTGTTTTCCTAGATTATTCAGTATGTACCCAGGGTTAAGAACCACTGTCCCACCTATCTGGCTCTGGCCTTCCTCTAAAGCTCACTTCTCACCACTCTGACCTTCCTCCATAGTATTCCAGATTTTCTGGCCTCCAGGTGGTCCTGGCTGGCTTCCAGCCCGGGAACTTTACGCTTTCTCTTCTGTCTTGCCTGCAACACTCATTCCCCAAACCTTTGTACAGTTGCCTCCTTCTCACTGCTCATGCCTCACTTGGATGCCATCTCCCTGGGAAGGCCCTTCCTGACTCCCCCCAGCTCCAGTAGCCACAAGCACACCCCGGCAGACATTTTCGATCTCAGTGGGGTATCTTCCTCATAGCACCCATTATCCACATTTATTCACTTATTTCCATGCTTACCATCCACTCTGTCTACGACAGTGTAAGCTTTATGAAGGCAGGGGTTTTGTTGATCTTATTTCCACATCGTCCCTAGAGCCCAGGACGAGGCCCAGGACCTAGGAAATAACTTCATAGCTCTCTTTGGACACATGAGGTAGAAAGAATGCATCATAAGGAAGCACACTGCATGGGAGCCTGGAAAGGAATTACTTAAAAAGAGAGGGAGAGAGATACATTTTAGAATCCCTTGCAGAGGTCACAGGATCTCAGGGAAAGAAAGTGGCACACAGACTGATACCATGGGTTGTGGGAATTCAGTTGCACGGACCATGAAAAACAGTCAGGATTGAGATTCCCAGTATAAAGGGTCGGAAGGTATTTCAGCAAGTTAGGTGACTTGTGGCTCTTGCTGCTTCTGTGGACTTTCGGTGCTGACAGTCACTGTTGGATTGTGTGTAGGGCTCTTGCCCCTGCCCTCCGATGGTTTTCAAGGCTGTGGGGAGATTGTAGAAAGGGAGGAGATGAGGTGTGGGAGCCGAGAGCCCGCATGCAAGCAGCAGCGAGGCGGGGCCTCTAGGACCCAAAAGTGAGCCCCACACGGGTAATGGCCCACCAAAGAAAAAAGCCACCCTGTCACCAGAGAGAGGGGAAAATGCCCTCTCGATGACCAAAGGCTTAAACAGCAAACAATATAGAGTCCGCAAAAGATCTGAGAAATAGAAATGGGGGGCAGACTCCGAGCAAGGAGCCACCATCAGCTGTTGTCTCCCATGGAGCCAGAGGTGCTAAAATAGGATCTCAAAGGCCATTTAGGAATCGGCTAAGAAGCAAGCTGTGCTGAGACACAGGAGGCCTAGGGAGCAGGGAGAGCCACGTCCAAAGGCCCACACTGCCGCTCACTGTGCATGGGTTACACGGTCCGGGCCACCACTGGGCCCTCACTAGCTCCGGAGCATGCCTGAGTGACCAGAGGGGGCCCTCTGCTGCCTGCGGGCCGGCCCCCCACCTCACCTCCCAGCCCGTCCCCTCTGGCCGCAGACACTGCAGAATGAGATCCTGGGCCACGCACCGCGGGTGGAAGACGTGCTGCAGAGAGGGCGGCAGCTGCTGGAGGTGGCCGAGATCGACTGTCAGGACATCCAGGAGCGCCTGGGGCACCTGCAGGGTGCATGGGACACGCTGCAGGAGGCGGCGGCCGGGCGGCTGCAGCGCCTGCGGGACGCCAGTGAAGCCCAGCAGTACTACCTGGACGCGGGCGAGGCCGAGGCCTGGATCAGCGAGCAAGAGTTCTACATCATCTCCGATGAGATCCCCAAGGTCGGCTGGGGCTGGGGCGCTGGTGCCAGGCTGGGAGCCAAGGCCAGGAGGAAGAGCAGGGGTGGGGCCGGCAGTGGGCAGTCGCACATCGGAAGTCCGGGCGTCTGAAGGGTCAGCTGCTGTGGCAGACATCCCGCAGCCGGGTGCCCCATTTGCCAACTTAGATGTGATCGAACCCAAGATTTCCCCACCTTTTTCGTGCCATGGCTTCTTATGGAGGGCCTGCCAGGAGGGAGGGAGAGATGAGGTGAGCCACCTCTAAGGAAGTTTTCACAGGGTCAGATCAGAGCTGGGACTGGGAGCGTAGGTATCAGAGAAGATCAAGAGGAAGGTGGGGTGTTGCTGAGGAACGAGTAGCAAGAAGGAATCGTGCACCACTCTCTTGTGAGGGTCCTCCGAGCCTGGCTGCACCCCCATTCTGCACCCCAGTCTCAGGCACCTCTGGGAGCAAGTGCCCTGAGAGTCACTGCCTCCTAGGACGAAGAGGGCGCCATCGTGATGCTGAAGCGGCATTTGAGGCAGCAGCACGCGCTAGAGGAGTATGGAAGGAACATCAAGCAGCTGGCCACCAGGGCCCAGGGCCTCCTGTCCGCAGGCCACCCTGAGGGGTGCGTGTGCCACTGGAGTGACTTGGCCGGGTGATGGACATCAGGCTGGGGGACCCCACCAGCTGGGATCCCTTCAGGTCTAAGGGGGAAAACAGCAACAGTTTGGGAAAGAACTGGGTTGGAGACCACTGCTTTCTGGACTGCTAATTGGCCTGATTGCATCTCATGCCTTGGTTTTGCATGAGGAGCTCCAAACAGGGCCAGCTAAGGCCTGGTTTTCAAGAAGATCAGAAAATACAATGACGAAACTACCCTCTCAGTGAACCAAGAGTTCCAATCTTTTGAAGAATTAGATTATGCTAAGAGACACTGGAGTGTAACTTTGCTTTTCTCTTTATGGTCCAGAAAGTACCTCAGGATCTCCCAGTGTCTCAGCAAAAATCATTATATAGGCATGAAGGTAGAAAACCTACATCCATCTAGTCGGTGGGTCTGCTGGGCCAGACTCGTCGGGCTGCTCCCCGAGGCATGGCCTGGGCCTCAGCTGCCTGCAGGGCTTCCACAGCTGTGGGGCTTCAGCAGTTACCCCAGCATCTCCCGAGAAGCCCCAGGGATTGAGCCCCATCCCTGCTGCCCCTGGAGCCGGGCTGCCGGTGCTGCTCCATCAGCCTCCTTGGGAGGATAATGGAGGAGGTCCCTTTTGTCTCCCTGAGCTTCCTGGAGTGAGGGACAATGCGGGGAGGCACCCCGTCCAGACAGGACACATTTCTGTCCTCTCCTGAGGCATTCTGGTCTACGGGATGGTTCTTTCCCAACACTTCCCAGGAAAAACTGCTCTCGTCCCACCTAGTTCCCCTTCCCCAGCTTTCCCTGCCACGGGAGGGGAGAAGTAGATGTGCCCCTCTGAGCTGGGCTCAGAGCTCTAGGCTCTCTACCTTCGTCTCTGAGTGCTTTCTGGTTTTGAATTCCAGGGAGCAGATCATCCGACTTCAGGGGCAAGTGGACAAGCAGTACGCAGGGCTGAAGGAGGTAGCCGAAGAACGCAGGCGGAAGCTGGAGAACATGTATCACCTGTTCCAGCTGAAGAGGGAGACAGATGACTTGGAGCAGTGGATTTCAGAAAAGGAGCTGGTGGCCTCCTCCCCTGAGATGGGGCAAGACTTTGACCATGTTACCGTGAGTACTCACAGTGACTGCTCTCTCCGTCTTCCTTCAACATCAGAGACGCAGGTGCAGTCAGGCCAGACACACACACACAGTACTACACAGAGCTGGAGACACGCTGCCCCGGAGCCCATGCTTCCCTGGGAAGGTGTGGCCGCAGGTGGTTGGTTCCCGCCTTGTGAAAGTCTGCGGCTAGGGAGATGACACCACACACCCCAGCCCTAGGCCCTGATAACCACCTTTCTGTTTCCCCCACATCCAGCTGCTCCGGGACAAGTTCCGGGACTTTGCCCGTGAGACAGGGGCGATTGGGCAGGAGCGGGTGGACAACGTGAACATCATCATCGAGCAGCTCATCGACGCTGGCCACAGCGAGGCGGCCACGATTGCCGAGTGGAAGGACGGGCTAAACGAAATGTGGGCAGACCTACTGGAGCTCATTGACACACGCATGCAGCTGCTGGCCGCCTCCTACGACCTGCACCGCTACTTCTACACAGGCACGGAGATCCTGGGCCTCATTGACGAGAAGCACCGAGAGCTGCCTGAGGACGTGGGGCTGGACGCCAGCACGGCCGAGTCCTTCCACCGGGTGCACACGGCCTTCGAGCGGGAGCTCCACCTGCTGGAACTGCAGGTGCCTTCTGTCCCCTGCTGCCCCCCCGCCCCGCCCCTTGGAGGCTCCAGGGACCTGCCATCCACCTCTTCCCCAGGGGCTCGGGGGTGTCAGCCTCTGGAATGGACACCAGCAAATTTCACCTCTTTCGAAAGGCAACAGCTTGCGGCAGAAAGGCTGGGAGCTGTGGCTTTCAGTCATTCTTTAGCTTCAGAAGTAGTTCTTCAATCTGAAACCTCACAAAAACCCAAGGCATCAAATACCTAAAAATGCTCTGTGTCTGGCTGTGCCACAGCATTCCTGGCAGACACGTACACGGTGCTTTTCTAGCACTCGGTACTGGTATTAGCATCACACTCTGTCCCATCCTCCAGAGCTACGTACAAACATCATCTGCTCTTTATAGATGAGGAAAGCAAGGCACAGTGTGTAAATGAGCTCCCTAGAATGTGTGGACAGTGCCACCAGGATTCGGATCTTGTCGTCCTGGCTCTAGACCCCATGCCCTCAGCCACTGGGCTGTTCAGTCTTTCCACATGGGAGCTGGTGGGGCGGGGGCGCCCCCAGGAACTGCTGAGACCTGCTCCTCCCATCACTGGGGTGGTTCCTGAGACACTGCTGCAGGCCCATAGGGCTCCACAGAACTTGGTGTGATGGAAAGGGTGAGAGCAGGGGGCCCCCCGCTGCTTAGGCCTCAGGAGCCCTGCAGAGGCACCAGGAGAGACGGGCTGGCTGTAGAGTCCTGTGTCCACCCAGCGGGGCTCAGGGATAGGACACCGAGGTGGGTCGGGCCCTGGTTCACTCAGAAGAGAAGCTCCTGGGAATGTCATCCAGCTGGTGGTGGGGCCTGCCCTGCAGCCCTTAGGCTTCAGGGGTGCTACAGCCCCTGAGGGGGGCACAGCCCACTGAAGTCTCAGGAATGAGACCTCATTGCACCAGGACTGGCCTCAGACAGGGGACCTGGGAGAGCCGCTCCCTTGGACAGGCAGATTACGGAGAGGTTAAGAACAGGGAATCCAGTCTGCACCCCTCAGGCCACTCACTCAGGCTCCCTGTACCTCAGTTTCTTCATCTCAAAAACAGGGATCCCAGTAGTACCTCTTTCATAGGGTGCCTGGCACATAGTTACTATTATTACAGTACTTCAGGGGAGACCAAAGGGCACAGAGTCCCTTTCACTCTTATATCCTCATCAAAACCCAATGGATGGCTTGGGTCCATAGAGGCCAAAACAAGGAGACTTCTCCCCCAGCGTTAGTGGAAGGCTGAAGATCTTGCCTTCCAGAAGAAACCTGGGGAGGGAGACCCAGAGGAGAGAGACCCCTTGCCCTGCAGAGGCCCAAGGCACATCTTTCTGGGGAACGACGTTCAGTTTTGCCCAACCACAGGTCCAGCAGTTCCAGGATGTGGCCGGCCGCCTGCAGAAGGCGTATGCTGGGGGGAAAGCAGAGACCATTCAGAACAAGGAGCAAGAAGTGTCCGCCGCCTGGCAAGCGCTGCTTGAAGCCTGTGCCGGCCGCCGCACCCAGCTGGTAGACACGGCAGACAAATTCCGCTTCTTCAGCATGGCTCGAGACCTCCTCTCCTGGATGGAAAGCGTCATCCGGCAGATTGAGACCCAGGAGAAGCCTAGGTAAGGGGGACATCCTCAGGATAGCCCCACCCCTCAGCCCCTTTGTCCCCAAGGCTGGCAGAGCAGGCCGCTGCCCTGGGACTCCTCCTTGGGGGACCATCTTGGACTGTGGGAGCACAGATTGGGTCCAGGGAGAAACGGAGTAGCTTAGCTTCTCCTGAGGGGACAGATCATTTCAGAGTAAAGGGAGCCCTGAGAGTGGCAAGAAAGACCTCTGCCATTCAGACCTGATGGCAGGGCAGTGACCACAGCTGTCAGGGAAAGTAAGCATTTTGCACACCCAAAGCTGGGCAGGTCCAAGCCTATGTATCAGCCCCGTGCTGGGATGCAGAGGCCATTTCCCCCAAGCTCCAGAAGGAGCTCATTGTGCATGCGAGGTGGGGGCGGGGGCTCATGGCAGTGAGACCCTCGGCAGGGAGCAGCTCTCCACGGGACTGTCTCGCTGGCAGTGGTCATTGGCCCATCTCTGTCCCTCTGCCCTGGAGCGCCCGTTGTGACAGCCAAGACTTTATACTTTACATCTTTATTCAGAATGCACTTTGCATAACATACCATCCGGCCGTTAACGTGTCCCATTCAGGGGTTTTCGCACGATCACCGGGTATGGCCCTCACCACATTCTAAGTTTAGAAGACTTTCATCACCCCAGAAAGGATCCCAGTACCCGTTAGCAGTCATCACCCCACAGTTTCCTCCTCCCCCGAGCTCCTGGCAACCACGAGTCTGCTTTCTTTTTCTCTAGATTTGCCTGTCCTAGATTTGTCCTAGAAGGGGACTCCTACAGTACGTGGTCCTTTGGGACTGGCTCCTTTCACTTAGTACAAACCTTTTAAGGTTCATCCATGTTGTAGCGAGGATCAGAACTTCATTCCTTTTTATTGTCAAATAATATTCCCAGGCTCCTTCTGGGGTCCCCAAACCCCCGACTCATCCCCTGCCAGCTGACCAATGGAAGACACTAGGGCATCAATGTTCCCGCTGGGGCTGGCCAGAGAGAGAGGAGGAAGTGGGATCAGACTCCCAGGCAGGTGGAAGGCGGCCCTCTGTGGTCTGGACTTGGCATCGGGCAGGCCAGAGTCACCCAGAGTTTCCTTCTTCCTCAAACTCCCTCCCTGACCCTTGACCCCCCCCCCATCCCCCAGGGATGTCTCCTCAGTGGAACTGCTCATGAAGTATCACCAGGGCATCAAGGCAGAGATTGACACCCGGAGCAAGAACTTTAGCGCCTGCCTAGAGCTGGGGGAGTCCCTGCTGGAGAGGCAGCACCAGGCCTCGGAGGAGGTGAGAGGACAGTGGGGTGAAGGGGAGCCCCTCTCTGTCCTTGCCTGCATTCTCGCCGGGCTGGACAGTTTCCTGGGAGGGAGCTGTGGGCCATGGGTTCTCTGAGGAGACTCTCTCACTCTGGAGCATCAGGGCTGTGTGCAGGCCCAGGGATTGGGGCCCCATCGACCCCAGCCAAGGCTGGCAGCTTAGTAGAGGAGAGCAGGCTCGTAGCCCACCTAATGTGTGCACACTGTGGTGTTGGCAAGACCCATTTCCTAGGAGAGGCACATGTGCCTCAGAGAGGTTAAGTCACTTGCCCAAGGTGGCACAGCTGGCTAGTGGCAGGGCCAAGACTTGAAGTGAGGTCCTTGTGACCAAACCCAGCATGCTTTGCAGGACGCATTTGCACACCACCTCAGACAAGGGGAAGGTTTACTAAAAGCCTGAGCTGTTCCCCCTTCCTTCCCACAGATTAGTGAGAAACTGAAGCAGGTGCTATCCAGGAGGAAGGAGATGGATGAGAAGTGGGAGGACCGCCAGGAACAGCTCCGCATGCGTGAGTACGCCCAGAACTTGGGGAGGGGGCAGACTCCTGCTGAGGTGGGGGCGGGGCAGGAGTGATTTTCATCTCCTAGAGGGGAGACCCCAGAACGCCACCCATAAGCAAGGTTCTGGAGCCAAGGGCCTCGGAGGTCCACACAGAGGAGCCGCATAGACACGCTGCTGGCTGCCCACCTCTGACCAGCCAGAATGCCCTCTCCCTGCCTGCCCTCGGCCCCACCTGGGTCCAGGCAGAGCATGAGTGGCTCAGCTTCTGCTGGGAGGACACCACAACCGGGTGCCAGGCTGGTGTCCCTGTAGCCGGGGGGCGGGGTCAGGTTAAGGCTCTAGCACATCCCACTACTGGATCTGAGGCATGTCAGACACAGAGCTCTGTCCCCTGCAGCTGGAGACCGAGGAAAGGGAAAGTCCTACCACTCGGGAGGGAGCTGCACACAAGCCAGGAAGGCCTGACGGCCCCGCGGCTGCTTGGGCACAGTTATGGGAGACAGCCAAGGACTGGGAAGAGAGCGTATAGGGCAAAAGGCTGCTTGTCAAAGGAGACTCTAAGCTACATTTTTTTCCAACTAGAGTTTGTTCTATTTTATGTGTTTTTCCAATACTTTTATGGATGGAGAGGAGGAAACCCTCCCCCATGTGGTTTGGGATCGAGTGGTCTCAGGCAGTAGGTCACCGCTAAGCAGGGTATCCCCGTGGTTCAGGGACCCCTGTGAGGGCCTCCTGCCTGGCCACCAGCTCCTCGTCTGTGGAGCAACCCACTGCTGAGTGCTAACAGGCCCTTCTTGGGCCCTATGGGTGGGTCTGTGTCTTTTCCCCGTGGCAGTACTGGAAGTGTGCCAGTTCTCGAGGGACGCCTCTGTGGCCGAAGCATGGCTGATCGCCCAGGAGCCCTACCTGGCCAGCCGGGACTTTGGACACACGGTGGATGGTGTGGAGAAGCTTATCAGGAGGCATGAGGCTTTTGAGAAGTCCACGGCCAGTTGGGCGGATCGCTTTGCTGCCCTGGAGAAGCCCACCACGGTGAGCTGGGAATACACACTGGGAGGCCCCGCAGCCACACCTCAGAGGAGGGGGGACCTCAAGTCAGGAACTCTGAGCCTGTTATTAGGCACACATGGACAGTGTAAAAGGCTTGGCGAGGGTCAGAGTGGGAAGGAAATAGGAGACGTAGAAAGCACTTCCAAATGCAAAAGATAAAGGTGATAATTTCTAAAAGAACAAACACCAGGTGCGTGGGGAGCTGTGTTTAGGGAAGGCTGTCTAGCAGTGAGAGCCTGTTCTCTGTGGCTGCTCTGATACCCTGGGTCTTTTCTTCCCCTTAGCTTGAGCTAAAAGAACGCCAGACCCCAGACAGACCCGAAGAGGAGAGTGGGTAAGTGGGGAGGGCGAGGCCGATTTAGCTGGAGCGTTCTGCTGAGGAGGATGGGTGGGAAGGGGGAGGGAAGGTACTTTTCATCAGAAACAGGCCCCCTGCCATCTTAATAATACCTCTCACACCTAGGCCACTAGCCAGAGAAATCTGGGGTGTCTGCAGCCTAAAGGTAGAGAGGAGCTTGTGTTTTCCCCAAATCACGGGTGGTCTAAAGGCCTGGTGCAGGCAGAAATGCCCCCCTGCTCTGGGAGCCACTGAACACATGCTCCAGAGGCCATTCTGCCTTCAACCGTGTCCATTTCTGAAGAATCTGCCATAGTGTTTCCAATTAAGCAGTTCCTTGCTGAGGGCCTGTTGCTGGGAGGCCTGGACCAGGAGAGAGTGGACAGGCTCCTGGTGGGAAGAGCAGGAGGCCAGGCACTGGCTTTGGGGAGGCAGTTTCTAAAGAGGGGCTGGGTCTTCCACAGGCCTCAAGAGGAAGAAGGGGAGACAGCAGGGGAGGCTCCCCGAGGTCCGCATCGCGCAGCCACCGAGAGAACGTCCCCGGTCAGTTTCCTGTCCTATTTGTCTGGTTCCTGGGAGTCCTTGCTGCCAGAGCCCTCCCATCCCTACTAGGCTCGGCCAGGGTAGAACATGAGGACAGGCTTGCACCACCCACGCTTCCAGCTCCTCTTTCACATCAGTCTTCTTTTTCACTTAGGTTTTCTTAATTTCTAGGATAATTCCCCTCCTTCCTTCACCCCAAAGAAACTGACATGCCAGCCCACTGACATGACCCTTTTTAGTTTGATTTTATCTAGTCTAATAAATTTTATTGTACAAATACATCACTATCTACATTAGGAGAAAGAGTTGATCCAGGGAAGGTTTATTTTTATATACCATCATTCTCCCATGTTCCCTCTTACTCCGTCTTTAACCCAGCATGCCCTACACACACATTCACACACACGCACACACACACACACTCTCACATATACACAGACAGACCATCTGACCTCACCTGCCCCAGCCACGGGCATTCAGGGCAGTGAAGGGGGGACACCCAACCCTCTAGCAGATCCCTCCTTCCTACCCTGAGCCCCCTCCCCTTTGCTCCCCCCACCCCCGGCCTAATGCCTATGGGTAGGCTTGGATGTAGAGCTGGCTCTGAAGCAGGAACAGACTTCAGGGAGCCCTGCTGGAGCAAAAGAGAACCCCAGGGCTTCTGGGTCACAGGGCCACTCCTCCAACCTTGTAGAAAAGGAGGGTGCAGCAGAGTCTTGGCTGATGGAAGTGTTGGGAGGGTCCAAGATAGACCAGCTGCCAAAGGTGTGGGGCACATGGCTTCAGGAAGGAATAGGTCCATTAGCTGAAAAGACCCAGGGTGTCTGTGCAGGGAGCCTGAGGCTATAACCCCAATTTTGGAGAAATGCCCTTAGAGATCGCCCTAAGAAGACAAGACTTCAGCATGTGCCTTGCATGGCTCACCAGTGCATGTGCCCCACCTGTCCAGCTGCCCGCTGGAACTTGCCTGAACTTTTAGGGAGATTGGTATTCTAGGTGGAAATCTCTGATACACCAGCCACCCCCAGAAAAATGCACCTACAATGATTATTTCCCGTGCAGAATCCCCATCAGGTCTGTATCTCAGCTCTTCTCACACTTCTGAGAGTCACACACACACCCTCCCACGCTGGGCACCCTCTGTGGCCTCCAGCCTGGCCAGAGGCCTCCCTTTCTGAGCTGCATCGGCCCATCATGTCCAGCAGAGGGCATTCCTGGTCTCCCAATGGAGGGCCTCTCCCAGAAGTGCCCTCTGAAGCACCATCACCGCATGTGGGGTCTCTGGTGGACTTCGTCCCAGCCCCTTTTTCCCAGAGACAGCCCCTCCTGGAAGGAGCGAGAACTCTGAGGGCTGGCAGGAACAGTGGACGCTGGGGCTGGGACTGGGACTGTCACACACCACCCGTGCTTCGGCTGTCCATCCCTGTATGTCTCCGTGCAGTGGCGTCCTGGGTCTGCGGGCTCCTTTGTGACCACCTGTGCAACTCCATGGTTTGTGTCGTGTACGTCTGTGCAAATGGAATTATGTGTGCATCAGAGCTGCCTCTGTCCAGCACCTGAATGTCACTGGGTTTGGGGAAATAAAATCTGCTTGGACCTGAGTATCTCTGGAAAGAGGGAATGAGCCTACATTTGAGACCCTTCCCAGAGAGCCGGCCACTGTACCAGAGGGGAAAATGCCTGTGTTTGGTACAGGAAGAAACCAGATGGCAAGTCCAGGGAACAGCAGGCCTGAGGCCTCATGGAAACAAATTCCCTGCTACTTCTCATTTCTGAGCCCTTTGTTGGGCTTTATGAGGATCTGCAATTGGTCTTTGACCTGAGAAGAGAGGAAAATGGGTCCCATGCAGCCTGGGACACCTTTACAGAAACCACAGGCTTCTCCTGGGAAGGGCTGGCAGTGCGCTGCCCCTTGTCTCTGGCCTGGCCTGGGGCACGGTGGCTCTCCTGCTGTCCCCTATGTGTGGTCTGGTGTGGGCACCCTGTAGAATAGAACCATGTGGTGTCGCTTTCTGTGAAACCTGTCACTAGTGCATGCTGGCTTCCTGCTTGGGGGAGCGGATGGGAGTGGGCCAGGCACCTGAACCCCTGCCTAGCCGGCTACACAGCACGGTGGGGGTGGGGAGCAGCCTGCTGGCCCCAGCTCAGCCCTCCCTCTCCCGGCTGCATGCGTGCCACTCCACGTCAGTCTCCCTCAAGCACATCACCATACAATGAATTGCCTCCCTCACCCCCTTTCCACATTAGAGCGTGTTCTGGTTAAAAAAAAAAAAAAAAAATTCATACAGGTAAGTATGTAAATGTGTATGAGGCCACGCAGAAAAAACAAGGTATCACAAAAGCCAAAACTTCTGGAGTGGAAGTCAGGACTTTGGGCTCTAGTCCCTAATTCTGGGGGAGATTTCTTGCATGATTTTAGACAAACGGCCTAATCCCGCTGGGTCCCCTCACCTTTATAAAGCCCTCTCTTAGGGATTACAGAAAGTCTAGAACATTCCAGTGTGTAAAAAATGTACCAAAGTAAAGGAGAGGCTGGGAGAGGTGGGTTTCCCCTCTCTCTTCTGGTCTCATCCTTAGTTCTGAGGAGCCTGTTCGCTTGTCAGGTGCTAGTTGGTGTGAGGCTGGAGAGGGGAAAGGAGGTAAAGGGCTGGGGTATTTGCCTTTGTCCTTGTTTGGCGGAGAGAGGCAGGGTTGAGCCTCAGCTCTGGGGGAGGTCTGTGCTCTGAAGATGGTCCCAGGGTGCTGGATGGGTGCCTGGCAGCAGGCTGAGCCATCCCCCTTCCTCCTAGTGCCTGGGGCACTGTCACCCTAATCCCCCTGCCTTGTGTTTCTCCCCTTCATCCGGGGTGTGGCTCTAGAAGGGACTCAGGAGTCTTGTTAAGCACCCTCGTCTTCCAGAGCCTGGGGGCCTGAGAGTCCCTGATGTAGTATCTGTGGTGACACGTGGTTGATTTCACAGCGGACAGACCGTATCACAGTGGGTCCAAGTCACTCCGGGCTTGAGGGTCCCCAGCCGACAGGACTTGGATGTCTGCTGCGCACTGCATGTTTCTTGGCTTTGGGATGGAAATTGGGGCCTGCGTGAGGAACTCTCCCAGTGGGGCAGCTGTGACCATGGGAGGGACATCCCTGAAAGGGACTGGTGTTCCTAGGGGCTGTGACCACAAGAGCGAGTCAGTCCTCAGAGTCACGGGGTGGCACGTGAGGCTACTCCAGTGAGCGACTGCTGGGTGCTGTTGCTATCGGGCCCCTTCGTCAGCTGCCCAGGGAGAACTCTGACCCACGCGCAGCCCACCGACAGCACTCTCAGCGCGCCCTTCCCAGACTGCCCGCTGCTGGCTGCCCCGGGGAGGGCTGGACGGCTCATCCGGGAGGAGGGCGGGCAGTCGGGCTGCCTAGGACCCGTGCCCCTCCCTTTCAAGGTCTCAGAGGAAGCTTCAGGGAAATGACCGACACTTGTAGATGTGAGGGGTGCGTGCCCGGTGCCCAGCGGGCTCGGGGTCACAGCCAGGATACCTTTCAGACCATGCCTGGAACCCAGTTAACAGTGGAGGCATCTCAGAAATGGGGCTTGAAGCTGCCAGCTTAACCACTGGGCATCGGAGCTGGATGGGGGAGTGGGCATCATTAATTTTTCTGAGCAGCTGGCTCAGAGTCACCATGGGATGGAGCGGCCACCAGCTTCTCGAGGGCAGAGGGACAAGAAGAGCCCACACTGCTGGCAGGAATGATGAAGACTGCTCCCAAGGAAGCCTCATTCTCCTCCCACCCATGATGGCAGTGGACCAGGTCTTCCCATCCCTGTCTGAGGGGACCCCGAACACTCCCTCTCCTTTCCCCTCACTTCACCTGGTGCCTTCCTCCACCCTCCCTCATCATCTTCCCTGCTGTGCCAGTTGTCATCTCAGGTGGATGGCTGGCCCCTGGGGTCCCATGTGGAGCCATTCTGCACCCTCATCCCACCTCTTGTGACAGCTGCACCGCAGCCACTCCTGCGGCTTCTCTCTGTAGGCATTTGTCTCTGCTCACCCTGAGTTGCCATCTCTTCATTTCTTCTTTCAACTCAACAAAGCATTTCTTTTCTTGTAAACAACAGTCTTCTAAACTGTCTTCCCAGCCTGCCTGCCCACAGTCCTTCCCACCTCTTTCCCAGAGGACAAGTGCCCAGACGTCCGACACAAGGGGGAGCATGCAATTCTCGGCTGTAGAAGTGGCCAGCTTCCCTCACCTCGTTTCATAGCCTTGTTTTGATTGCCTCAGGCATCCAGCCATAGGTCTCCTCTGGCCCCAAGCCCCTCTTCCGGCCCCTAAAGGTGTTCTCTGACTCATCCCACATCAGCGGGCTCGGCCCATTTTGACCAAGAACTGCACCGCATAGGTGCCCTCCTCTGGAGCGGTAATTCCCGCCCCTCGTGCAGCAGGATTCTGTAGGAAAAATGCAGAGTTTGGGACCTTGACTTTCCACTCACTAGATGTGTGGCTGAGCAAGTTACTCATCCCCTGACCCCCACTTTCCAGAATCTATAAAATAGGGGTGGTGATGATACCTGCCTCACAGGTGTGAGTATTGGGAGAGAGAATATAGGTAGAACTTCTGGCATCTAGGAGAGTATCAGCCTTTATTTTTCCCTTCGTTTTCTTCTGTCCGTCACTGCAGTCTTTCATCTCTTAAAAGAAGCCTTCTCCATATGAATTCTAACATCCATTGCCAGAGCCCTCTCAAACCAACTCCCCGCCCCCCCCCCCAGCACCTCCCCCTTGATCTGCCCAAGTATGCATTCCAGGCTCAGTCCTCACTGTGAGATCAGATGGCAAGACCAGCACATGACAAGGTAGAATGGTGTCCTCAGCGGGGGTGGGGGGGGCACCCTCATGGCCTGGTTCTCGCTTGTCAGCATCTCCTTTAGAGAGAAGCTCCCTCACTTGTGTTACCTTGCTTGTTAATACATCTTGAGTTCACTGAGCATCTTCTAGAACCTCCAAAACACCCTGTTGTCCCAGGCCAGGTGATTTTTCTCGTGGGAGCTGGAAAGTTGGCCATCTCTGTGCTGTCTTCTGCACCACCAGCTGGCTGGGCCTGGAAGTACACCTTCAGCTCCTTTAGTCCAGAGCAGAAATGTACCCATCTTTCCCTCACTTCTTGAACCTTCTTTGTGGTCCTCTGCATACTTCGCCTGCCCAAGCCAGCTTCCTAGCAAGGCAGGACCCTAAAAAGTCAAGCTTACAAGACTCTGAAAAGAGGTGGCCATCCCCTGCCCATCAGGAACTGAGAGGCCTCTCCCTGCTTGACTACAGTCCTGTGAGATCCTAAAAGCCTCTCCTGTCTGTGCCTTTTCCTCCCCTGATGTCCCCAAACCACAGGCAGTGCTGCCTGTCCTCTACCCTCCTCTGACCTCACGATCCCAGCAGCCAACACACACGCCTCCTCTCAGATGCCTCCATTTCAGCCACCTGTTCCCCAAACGGGAGAACCTGGCTCCACATCCCTGATTCCAGCCCCCCAACCCGGGCCGTTCTCCCACAGATAGTCACTCCCATTTTTTGGCTAGACTGCCCAGCTGCTCCAGCCTGCCACCAAGAATTTCCTCCTGTCCCCCTCTTTTAGCCACCCCAAGGGGCATCCCCCGGCGAGGCACCCTCAGCAGTGTGGGTGAAATCTGTGCTCCGTCCTCGGGAGCTAGGGGCTAAAGACGTGGGCCTCCTGCCTTATAAGACAGAGGACAGGAGGGAGTCTTAGATCATCTCCCCTCTCCAGGGCCTTTCAGCAGAAACTGCCGGTCTCTACAGCCACAAGAGTAGCCAGCTCTGGGCCCCACTCCTCACCTAGCCACCCCTCCTCCTGTTCTGCTACCCACCCACCCCTCCCTTATAGGGCGAGGCAGACTCTTCATATCAGAGCGTGGCACAGTTCCAGGGGCAGCAGGAACACGCCCCCCCCACCTCCCAGCCCTCCCGCAGCTTTCTTTTAGAAAGGGGGCTGGGAAAGTTAGATCCTTCTGGCCAAAGACCCTTCTGCCCCATCTTTCTCATCCAGGGCTCCTCCCTTAGCCCTGAAGAGCAGCTCTGCCAAACACTCCTCTCCCCCTCATGCTGGGCTCTTGCTCAGGCCTTGGCCTTCAGGACAGAGGGACAGAGTGGCTTTTAAATTGTCTCCACACAAACAGTCCAGAGCACAGAAGAAACCTTTGCAGACACTGGAAAACCCCATTTTCTAAAACAATCCCATGACCTGGCTATTTAACTTGTGACCTTGCAGGCCATTGGCCTCTGAATGCCCCTGCTAGGGAGTGGCAGTCCAGCACTCAGGAGGAGGAAGCAGAAGGAAGGTTAAGATGAAGTTGGCAGTCCTGGAAAAATCTGCCTTTATTTTCAGAGGACAGTTCCAGAAAGGAAGGAGAGTGGCAGCACGGGGAGAATATGTGGACACAGTCCCCAGTAAAACCAGTCTGCAGAGAGCAGAGGCTGAGCGAGAGAGGCACACACAGCTGCGAGGGTCTTCTCTGACCACCACCCCCCAACAAGTCCCTGCAGGTGCAGGGAAAGAAAGCTCTGGCCCATGACTAGGAGCAGTACAGCCAGATGGAGAGGTGGGGGATGAAAGAGGCTTCACTTTCTGCATTAATAACCCACCCCCCACCAAGTTTTACACCCAGTCAGAAGGGTAGCCTGATTGAGTCCACAGAAGCCCAAACCCAGGCTCCCAGTCTCATCCCTGCCAATCCTGCCCTCCTCCCCCGCCCACTAGAGGATGATCCAGACAGGGCTTTGGATCCTCTAGATCCTTGTGGCCCGTGCTAGCTCACTGCAGACATTTGAAGCTACAAGTACTACGGATGAGTTGAGTGTCAGCCAGCCACAGCTCTTGTGGGGCTCTAAGACAGGAGAAGATGAAAGACCTAAAGATGCAATTTAAAAAAACAAAAAACCCTTGCCTTCTTTAATTCTGGATCGCACGCTCTCAATCACTTCTGATACTTATTAGCTGTGTGGTCTTGGGTAAGTCACTTAACCTCTCTGAGCATAGATTTCCTCATAGATTAAAGGTATTGGACTAGTGGACTAGTTAGTGGTCTTCAAACTTTTCAGTCCCATTATCCTTTCTTTAAAGAAGATCTTACTGGAACCCCAACTTAAAACTGTGTATTGGGCAGTCCTAATTTGATGGGATCCAAGCCTTTCTCCCAGCCATGGTGTCAGACATCGGCATTAAGCCTCTCCTTCCATTGCTTTAATACCATCTCGGGCAGTCCTTGGTCACTTTCAGCTGTTAAAGAGTCTACCCAGTGTGTCTCTGTTTAAAGCTTCAATCCACTACCCGATGTTGTGTCCGCTTTCTCCCATCCTCCATTTCTCTATTTCAGGTTTGAGTCATGGTCTGAAGGACCCACAATGGGGAGCACAGGGTCTCTGCCCTTCTTTGGCTTCTCCAGGCTCCACCTTCAGTTGTGGGGCAAGCAGCAGGGAGTAGCAAAGGGAACCCTGTCTCCTGCCTGGGGCAGCCCTAGTCCTCCTGGGCTGATGCCCTTGGTCCTTCAGCTATCCAGACGCGGCCAGCTCAACGACCTGCAAGAAAGACCCTTCCCACCTGGTGCTGTAAGGTCTCCAGCAGTCAGGCCTGGAGACAGGGCTCTGACGAACTGGTTTGTGCAAGGCTCCCTTCACTGGTGCTCATTTGGCACACAGAAGTCTCTCTGTGCCCGACCCAGCGGTGGGGGGCCGGCTGCCGTGCTGCTCCTATCTGTCCCGCCCTCTTCTGCCATAGGCACAAAGGCAGGTCACAAAGGCCCCTGCAGATGGGACCAGGTCCGCTCCCCTTCTTGTGGACATCTGCCTCCACTGGAGGCCCCTCACTGGGCTGGGCAGGGGCTGGAGCACCCCACGGCCCCCAGGGAAGTGCAGGGAGGTAAAAGCCACAGTACTCCCCCACCTCCCCTCCCCCCAGCCCAGCAGGGACTCCTTCTTATGGGGATTCTCAACATCAGCTGCTCATTAGAGAGTCTGAAAAGCTTACTCAGAACTACCACTGTGCTGCCCCCACTCTGGTGCCTGTTCTGTGAAAGCTCCGGAGGCCTCGGAAGGCAGCCGGGGTTGGGAGCCACTGCCCTACTCCAACCAACCCCAGTCCACTGAGGGGGCAGGACCAGTTAGCCCAGAGCGGTGACCCGGGAGGACCCAGGTGGGTGGCATAAGGTGGCAGGGGAGACTTAGGGCCTGTCCCCTTGGCTTTGGGGACTCAGACACAAGCAAGTACCAGCAGAGTCCCCATTCAACATCATACTAGATATTTTTCACATGTGTTAGCAGCACAACCCTTCATAGGAAATCTTGCCGGACGTTTAACTCAGCTGGAGGGGCCGGGGCAGCATTGGAAAGCTCCAGCATCGAAACCATCACCCGGGCCCCTCAGCTGACTCTAAGCAGCTCCATCACTGCGTTGCCCGGCGGGGGTGGGGGTGGGGGAAATAGAGCCAGAGGCATGGGAAGAGCCTATGGGAGCAGACCAGGGCCCCCCACCCCCACAGGTCAAGGGAAAGCCAGAAAGGAAGGAGGCTGGGGGGTGGGGGGCTCAGCCTTCCCAGTCCTGCCAAGTAACCACCGTTGGGTCTGAACCCCTAGCAAGGTGTGCTCCTCCCATATGCCCCTGAGCAGGGGGAAGAAGAGAGCCAGTGGCCTCAGGACCTACAGCCGCCACTCCTTCCGGGGCCGCAGGAGAAATCCAGTGGGGATGAGAGGCCCGCCCCTGAGCCGCTCTTTAAGGTCCTAGACACGCCTCTGAGTGAGGGTGATGAGCCTACGGCGCCTCCGGCCCAGCGGGACCACGGGTACAGCGTGCAGATGGAGGGCTACCTGGGACGCAAGCATGACCTGGAGGGACCCAACAAGAAGGCATCCAACAGGTGTGTGCGGGAGAGGCTGCCTGGGGGGAGGTGTGGGTGCCTTCCAGGGACCTCTCCCCTTACAGAGCCTCGGCAACATGGGCGTTTGTAGGGGAAAGGGGGCCTCCTGCCTCTAATCTGAGGGCTCCCTTTGGGCCAGCTACTTGGAGGTACTTGGAGGTACTTGGCATGATGGGGAAAGTCCTGAGTTCAAATCCTATGCCCTTGTACAAGTGACTCAGCCTTTGTTTCCCCATTTGTAAAATGAGGATGAGGAGGAGACCATACCTCCGGTACAGATCCCAGGCCTAGCAGAGTAGGTTCTCAGTGAATATTAGCCATTATTCTTATCTCAGAGCTTGGTAAGAGGTAGGTAGGTCTTGGCAGTAAAAACATATCCTTGACCAAGGCCCACTTTTAAACCAATCTGGGCCTGTTTCCCCAGCTGTAGAATAGAAGAATGGAGTTGGCATACGTGCCTTCCGGGGGTCCTGCCCAGTGCTGTCCTGCAGCAACTCTGTGACCCTGAGGAACTCATTCGAAGGCCACATCCTTTCCTGGCCCTCAGGCAGTTAACGTCCTTGAGTTCAGTCCGTTCAGGGCTGCTGCTACGCAAGGTCCTAGCAGCGTTCCAGGGTTGTGGGGACACAGGGCAGCATCAGGAGGTGGAAGGCAAGTGGCAGCATACAGAGCCTGGGCTGGGAGCAGGGTGGGACATGCTACAGCATGTCCCAAAAATGAATTTGGGGGCCCAAGCACCCTGAAGAAGTTTATTATTTATACAGAGCCCACAAGAAAAGGGGAAACTGGCATTTACTGAGCACCTACAATGTGCAAGGCATCGTTCGGACTGATACCATCTTCACAACCACCCTGTGATACCAAGGTTTCTATTTCCCAGATGGAGAAACAGAATTTCAGAGAAGTCATTTGTCTGAGGCAGTAATTTACTCCAGGACCCAGCTCCTTCTCAGCAACTGCTTTACTTGGGAGTCCAAGCTCAAAGCAGGTAGTGGGGGCCGCAGGAAGGATGGGAGCTCTCTGGGAGGATCTTTCTCTGCGTGTCAGAAACCTGGGCCCCATGAAAAGGCTCTAGAGCCTGCCCGTCCAGTACAGGTCAAGTTCTCTCTTTGAACTTGCAGTCTTTCCTCCCTATGAGCCCAACAAGCTCTCCACCTTCCTGCCCTCCAAGGGGAGGAGGAAAAGCTGACCGTTGCCCTGTTCCCCAGCATTCATTCCTGTGAAGTGTGAATAGGTACTGAGTTTCCCATTAGTCGGTCAAGAAGCTCAGGTCAGCCTACCCGTAAGCTTATAACCTTGTCACCAAACATCAGCTGAGTCTTGATTTGCACAAACAATTCTTTAAAAAGTGCTTGTGTAGTATACCGGGCAGATCTCCTCATATAAAACGAAAAATAACCAGAACAAAATGCTGCTCTGCTCCCTTCAGTTCTGTGGTGAGAATCACATATGCTCATGGGTGCAGAAGGGCTTTGAAAGTTAAGGTTACAGTGTTGGTCCTAGACTCACTAATCCTACTCTTAGAAATGTACCTCAAGTGCTCGCTTCGGCAGCACATACACTAAAATTGGAAAGAAATGTACCTCAAGGTAAGACCCAAGTTATAGCAAAGATTTATGCATGAATGTTTATCACATTGCTGTTTAAACTGCACTGTTTAAATTTCCAGTAATTATAAGACCCGCCAATAGAGGGATTATATATAGAATGGGATACCCTATTATTTCCTAAAATTAATTCCTAAAATTGTTTTTAGGAAAGATTTGAAGGATATGTGAAAATATTCATGATATATTGTTAATCATTTTTTTAGGTTTATTTTAGAGGGCAAGCGGGCATGAGTGGGGGGTGGACAGAAGGAAAAGGCAAGAAACTCCAGCAGACTCCCCCGGGCACGGAGCCCAGCACAGGGTTCCATCTCAGGACCCCGAGATCAGGACGTGAGCCAAAACCAAGAGTTGGATGCTCAACCGACTGAGCTACCCAGGTGCCCTGATACAGTGTTAATCTTAAAAGCTGGCTATGAAACTGAATATACACTATAACCCATTTTCATTAAACATATGAAGAGAAGAAAATGTGAATAGAAAGACTAGAAGAAAATACCTAACTTTCAGTAGTGGAATGACATACAGATGATTTCCATTTCCTTTTCTAACTGTAAAATGTGTTACTATTTATTGGGGCAAAAATGGTATCATTAAAAAAAAAAAAAAAAGGCAACGCTGTAAGAATTGCTTACGGGGGTGTCGGCACCCGGGCATGCGTGACCGGCCGGCCGGCACCTCCACAGGTCGTGGAACAACCTGTACTGCGTGCTCCGGAACCGCGAGCTGACCTTCTACAAGGACGCCAAGAACCTGGCGCTGGGGGTGCCCTACCACGGGGAGGAACCCCTGGCCCTGAGACACGCCATCTGTGAGATCGCGGCCAACTACAAGAAGAAGAAGCATGTCTTCAAGCTGCGGTGAGGCCCCTCCCGCCCAGGGCCCCTTCCGTGGCAGCTCAGTTTGGCAGCAGCGGCTGGACGGGAGCCTGGGGGCGACCGGCTCCTCGCCTAAGTTGCCCCTCGGGAATTTTTCAAACCAAAGAGGCTTAGCTTAGAGTCCAGATGTTCACCTCTCTCAGCAGGTTGCTGTGCTGCCTGTGAGGGTTCTGGTCCTGGGGAGGCTCCGGATTCTGGCTCCTCTCCAGGCAGAGGTGGCCACCTAGCAGGAAACCCTCTTTTGTCCTAGGCTGAGCAATGGCAGCGAGTGGCTCTTCCACGGCAAGGACGAGGTAAGTGCACGGTGACCTCACCCAGACCCCTGCTGCCCAAGGAGCAGGGGTCCCTCTCCCACCAGCAGTCCTGGGGCATGCCCCTCCCTGGTGGCCCACGGCCCTCCCGCCCTGCAGGAGGAGATGCTATCCTGGCTGCAGGGCGTGAGCACCGCCATCAACGAGTCCCAGAGCATCCGCATCAAGGCACAGAGCTTGCCCCTGCCCTCTGTCACCGGCCCCGACACCAGCCTTGGCAAGAAAGACAAGGAGAAGAGATTCAGCTTCTTCCCCAAAAAGAAGTAGCCTCTCTGGCGCCCCGCCGGCGGGACCGGGCCATGTAGGGACTGGCGGGGCGCCCGCGGCCTCAGCCCGGGCCCAGTCCTCCCCTGCCCCTGCCTGCGCCTGCCTGTTCCAACCGCGACCACAGCCTGCAGCCAGGGGCCCGCTGCGCTGCGATGCCCGCCTCCGCCGGCTCCTGCCCGCCTCTGCTCCTGTGCAGCCCAGGCTCCCGCCCAGGGCCAGGAGCCCTGGGGCGGGAAACGGTTTCCCAGGCGCCTGTCCTCCTCTCCCGCCTGCCCCCTCCTCCCAACGGAGGGCCCTCTGGCCCTCAAGCCCCACAAAAACTGGAGAAGACAGGAGGTTCCTCAGATGCTGCCCACTCCCAAAGAAGGCCTTGCTTGGGGCCGCCTCCCATTTGGTCACGGCCAGGGAAATGGAAGAGGACAAGGGAAATGCCTGAGCTGCCCCTTAGGGGCATGAGGAAGGAGCTTCAGGTAGGCACCCAGGGCACTAGCTCTAGCCGAGGGGCTGCTGGGGACCCCAGAGACACAAGGGGCCTCTTTCCCACGGGGCTTCCTTGAAACTGGGACGCATACCTCAGGGGCCACCGTATCCCTTCCACCTTCTTGCTCTCACCAAAAAACAAAACAAACAAAAAAACCGTGGAGGGGCACTACCAAGGTTGGTGGGTCCTAAATATAAGGGCCTCCACTGCCTCCAGGGCCCTCTGTTACCACCACAGGCAGTGGAAAGGAGCAAGAGCTCTCAAGCTGGTCCTCTTAGAACAGCGTAGCACAGGGCTCAGAGGTGAAGGAGGCAGACAGACCTTGACATTGCCCAAGGCTCTGCCTCTGCACTCTGGGATCCTCCCCAACTCCCAGCCAAACCAGCACTGTCCAACTCAGATCCAGGGTCCCTTAGGGACAGTACAGTTCCCCAGACTGAAGATGGATAGCCAGCATCTGCAGTGAAGCAGCCCAAAGCCAAAGGCTCAATGTCCTGGCTGTAGCTGGTACCATCTGAGGGTACTGGCTGAACAGATAGTGAAGTTCATGACCTATCACTCTGGGCAGCAAATGGAACCGTAACCTGGGTACTACCACCCATGTCACACCACCGCTGGGCAACTACAACAAATGCCGGGGGCCTGGGCCATGAAGGTACAGCAGCCCTTGCTCAGCTTCTCCTGAGGTCCTTATCAAGTCACATGGGTACAAAGGCCACCAAACATCTAACACCCCCTTCCCCAAGCCCAGCCGAAAGGAGCCCTCTGCACGATTTCCCCAGGGAGAGGCTCCCCCCACCCCGCCTTCCCCGTGCTGTGAAGGTCCAATCTCTGGGGGAAAGAGGGCACTCGTTCCCACAAAGATCTCCCCCACCACTCTGAAAGCAATACAGCTCCCACCCAGCATCTTCACTGGGTTTAGGTCCAAAAGGGGTCAAACTGGGGGCAGCAGGTGTTTCCCCCTGAAGAGACCCTACGTCCCTGGGGCCTCAGCTGCTGCTCTATCACCTTCCCTATGAGGAGCCTCAGGCACACGGAGATGATTCCTCTGGAAGGGAGGTGAGGTTCCGATTGCAACCACAGGGGTAGGCACCCAGAGTTATTAGGCCTTCCCAGGAGCCCTTCTTGCAGGCACAGCTTAGAGATCAGAACCACCCTGTCAAAGGGTAGCTAACTAACTTCAAACAAGAACAGCAGGAGGGAAGTTCTCCACGGGAGCCTGACATCCCCAGATCAGGAGGGGGGGGTCTCACCTTTGTAGCCAGGGTCTTCCCTTGGCCTCTATGCATCTAACCCTACATCCCTTTTAGCATCTACAGGGAAGTTAGTATATACCACTCACCAGCCTCTTTCTCCCTCTGGGGAAACTGAGGCAGGAGGCCGTGCGGTGACTACACTCACCTGGCAACGAAAGCCTCTGGAGCATCTGAGGGCATGTCGTGCTACAAGGCAAACAGCTCGTTCCTTACTGCACAGCAGGTAGTGGCAACCATCTTCCTCAACTCTTTCCCTAGGCCAGTCTTTAGGGAGACAAGGCGCCCCCCACTCTTCCTTCCATGCGTGCCAAAGTAGCAACTGAGGTGAGAAATTTCCAGCAAGTAATCCCACAGCCCAAAGACTGAAAGGGCCCCAAAGGAAGAGGTAGGATCCCACCACCCCAGGACTCCCGGACTGGGCAATGGCAGCCAACCGCATGTGACCCACTGGCTCTTGCCAGCGCCCCAGGCATCCCTCCTCCATCACGCAGGCCCCAAGACACCCGACAGCCCTAAAGCTACAGGAGGCTGGCTTGGGAAGATTGTGCCACAGGGGTTGAAGTTCCCGTGCCCCTTGCAAGGGTTTTCCCCTCCTTACATTTTCTACTTTGCAATCTTTTCACAGTATTCCCAAACTAGGCTGACACGCTCCAGTCCACACCAGCATAACAGGCTTCCTCCCCAGGGCAGCTTAGAGGAAGCTCCTTCTGGGTATGGTTAGGTGGTCCTCCTTCCTTCTCTCCTTCCCCTTCATCCTCTGGCCCCTCATGGTTGGTTGGGGGGGGGCAGTATGGAAGATCGCCAGGCATCCCCTCAGCCCCCACAAACTAGCACCCATAACTGGAAGCTTGTGGAAGGCTCAGCGTCCCCACCACACTTCTCTTTCCTGCCTATCGGAGGGCAGCTAGGGTTCCCAAGGTTGGTCCTGGATCTCGCTCGCCACCCTTCAGCGGGGGAGCAGGCAAGGATCCAGAGGACCATACGGCCTGGTCCCTTGGACAAGCAAGCTCAGGGAGGACACAAGGGAGGAGGCAGCTCCACAAGACTGCAAGCCTGTTGGGCACAGACCACACACTCTGGTGCTGGCCCTGGGGCCGGCTGGGCCTTGTCCTCCACCTGCTCAAATGTGCTTCCACCAACCAGAGAAAACCCATTTACTAGTTTTTCTAATAAATCAATAATGCTCCATCTTTCTCTGTTACTTATTTGACTGGTTTTGTTTCCCTCTGAATGGGACCAAGGAAGGGTGGTTGAGTGAGCAAGGGCAGGGAGGGACCACCATGGAGACAGAGGGAGAGCCAGTCTCTGGTTGGTCCCCGAAGCGTCTCATGCCCAGGCCCAGCTGCTGTGCCTCGCCAGAGACCCTGACAGAAGCTCGCTCGTTCATACAGTCAGCCACCTTGAGGGCCCGCAGCAAGCCCTTCCCCACAGAGCTCTTGGCCTTCGCTGGACATCGGAATCATTAGAGGTGCCGTGCCAGAGATTCATCTGGGCGGGGGGGCGGGGGGGGTGATTTCTTTTGGTCTAGGTGGATGTAACCGGCATCATCACTTTTTAAAAGGCTCCATGGACGACTCTCAGTGGGAGCGAGTGAGAACCAGTGAGCTGGTTCTAGGCTCCCAGTCATACCTAGATGGTTAAGGATCACCTGGGGAAAAGTATTCACTACAACTTCCCAGGCCCTACCCTCCAAGAAGTTTGAGTCAGGGAGTTTGAGAAGCAATGCATGATCCATTTTCTCCAAATCGGAGATGAGGAAAAAAAAAAAAGCAAGAGTTCAGGTGACCCAGCTAATTGATGGCAGGGCTAGGACCAGAACCTGGGTGTCCTCTCACCTCAGTACCTTCCTGGATCCTGAGCATCAAACCCCAAGCCTGGTAGGAGGCAACTATCCCCAGCACCAGTAGCAATGGTCACAGAACATTCAGGACAGCAGGTAGCTCTACCCCATCTGCTTCTGCCTAGGAGAGGCCTCTCCTGGCTTCCACCGCCCCCCTGACCTCTTCAGACTCTACACAACCGCCTTCAGGTTGAGTCTGTCCTGCAAGATCAGAAACTCACAGAGCCCTGACCCAGCAGACCAGTGGAACACTTGCCTACAGAAACAGGGCCAAACAAGGCTGGTCCACCACAGAGGAAGGGCAGAAAACCCAATCAGAAATCAGCAGGCACTCCCCCAGTCCTTTTGAGAAAAGGCACTTTGAGAATAGGATGAAAACGGAGGCTCCGTCCCCAGAAAAAATGCATTTGCTCTCCTCATGTGACGTTGCAAGCCACCGCAAGACAGGTCTAGGCTCCAAATTTAGAATCCTTGTCTCCTAGGATGTCTCCTGGGAACTAGAGAGGGAGAGAAAAGGCACCAGACATGGGAAATTTCTGTCATTAGAAAAACGTTCATTTCCTCACCTTTTTTAGGCCAACACTGGTCCCTGAGGAAAAGAGCTTAAGGCTGGCACGATGCTATTTCCCTACCCCGCAGGACACCAGGCCGGGGCAGGCAGAGATCAGGTTCCTTCCCGCACTCCCCGCTGCCCCAGCCTCCCCTGTAAGCACCCTGCTGCCTTATGCGTCATGAGCACGACTGATGCAGGAGGGAATGTGCAGCAGCCACCACACGGCCCGCCTCCCTGAGGCACCCCTGGCCTCAGTCAGCAACCCCCCCACCCCCCACCGAGGCCCAGTGAGGAGCACACACAGGTTGGTTGGTGAGCAGCGTTATTGCACCGTTGGCAAATAATGAAATGTATGTACATGAGCGACAACCACAGGGTCAGCAAGACAACCTACAAAAGTACCTGAACAGAATCCATTACATTCTTCACGGGAGAGGAATCAACAACCGGAGAACACACACTCACAGACATGTGCGCAAATGCACCACAGAATGGGAAACAATAAATTATGGGCCTTGTTCCTGCCTGGATCCTAAGAAAAGGCACAACTAAAGAGCAAAGCCTCCCCAGGCCATTCCACCGCTCCCCTGGGTGGCTCCTCAGCCTGGCAGTGGTCAGCCCGACACTGGAGGCCGGAGCACGGCTTACTCCCCAGGGAAGAGGACAGCTTAAATATTCGGCTTCTTACTAGACAAGAACTATATACAAGGGAAGTGGCCACACTGGCCTGGGTGGGTAGCAGGGCTCAGCTGGCCCTGTGAAAGTCACCACAAGCCCCGGGGAGCACCGGGCCATTCCCAGCAGGTGAAGGCACTGGGCTGAGCACACCAGCCCATTCTTTCAGGGGCTTATGTGAACCCGGGGAGGCCA